TGTATTTTGTCCTGTTAATGGGAAACTGTTGGGCAATAAAGTTATTATTATTATTATTATTATAAAGTTATTATTATTATTATTATTATTATTAAACTACTTCAAAAACAAAACAAAAGGATTCCCAGAGATTCTTTCAAACCACTTCAAAAATAAAACAAAAAGGGATCCCTGAGATTTTTTTAGAATTACTTCAAAAATAGAACAAAACAAGTCCCAGAGATTCTTTCAAACCACTTCAAAAATAAAACAAAAAGGGGTCCCTGAGATTCTTTAAAATTACTTTACAAACTGAACAAACGGGGCCCCCGAGATTCTTTCCAACTACTTCAAAAATAAAACAAAAAGGAGTCCCTGAGATTTTTAAAAATTACTTCAAAAATAGAACAATAGGGGTTCCCGAGATTCTTTCAAACTACTTCAAAAACCAAACAAAAGGATTCCCAGAGATTCTTTCAAACCACTTCAAAAATAAAACAAAAAGGGGTCCCTGAGATTTTTAAAAATTACTTCAAAAATAAAATAAAACAAGTCCCAGAGATTCTTTCAAACCACTTCAAAAATAAAACAAAAAAGGGTCCCTGAGATTTTTTAAAATTACTTCAAAAATAGAACAAAAGGGGTTCCCGAGATTCTTTCAAACTACTTCAAAAACCAAACAAAAGGAGTCTTGGAGATTCTTTCAAACCACTTCAAAAATAAAACAAAAAGGGGTCCCTGAGATTCTTTAAAATTACTTCACAAACTGAACAAACGGGGCCCCCGAGATTCTTTCCAACTACTTCAAAAACAAAACAAAAGGAGTCCCAGAGATTCTTTCAAACCACTTCAAAAATAAAACAAAAAGGGGTCCCTGAGATTCTTTAAAATTACTTCAAAAATAGAACAAAAGGGGTTCCCGAGATTCTTTCAAACTACTTCAAAAACCAAACAAAAGGATTTCCAGAGATTCTTTCAAACCACTTCAAAAATAAAACAAAAAGCGGTCCCTGAGATTCTTTAAAATTACTTCAAAAACAGAACAAAAGGGGGCCCAGAGATTCTTTCAAAGCACTTCAAAAATAAAACAAAAAGGGATTCCTGAGATTTTTTAAAATTACTTCAAAAATAGAACAAAACAAGTCCCAGAGATTCTTTCAAACCACTTCAAAAATAAAACAAAAAGGGGTCCCTGAGATTTTTTAAAATTACTTCACAAACTGAACAAACGGGGCCCCCGAGATTCTTTCCAACTACTTCAAAAACAAAACAAAAGGAGTCCCCGGTATTCTTTCAAACTACTTCAAAAACAAAACAAAAGGATTCCCAGAGATTCTTTCAAACCACTTCAAAAATAAAACAAAAAGGGATCCCTGAGATTTTTTTAGAATTACTTCAAAAATAGAACAAAACAAGTCCCAGAGATTCTTTCAAACCACTTCAAAAATAAAACAAAAAGGGGTCCCTGAGATTCTTTAAAATTACTTCAAAAATAGAACAAAAGGGGTTCCCGAGATTCTTTCAAACTACTTCAAAAACCAAACAAAAGGATTCCCAGAGATTCTTTCAAACCACTTCAAAAATAAAACAAAAAGCGGTCCCTGAGATTCTTTAAAATTACTTCAAAAACAGAACAAAAGGGGGCCCAGAGATTCTTTCAAACCACTTCAAAAATAAAACAAAAAGGGATCCCTGAGATTTTTTAAAATTACTTCAAAAATAGAACAAAACAAGTCCCAGAGATTCTTTCAAACCACTTCAAAAATAAAACAAGAAGGGGTCCCTGAGATTTTTTAAAATTACTTCACAAACTGAACAAACGGGGCCCCCGCGATTCTTTCCAACTACTTCAAAAAGAAAACAAAAGGAGTCCCCGGTATTCTTTCAAACTACTTCAAAAACAAAACAAAAGGATTCCCAGAGATTCTTTCAAACCACTTCAAAAATAAAACAAAAAGGGATCCCTGAGATTTTTTAGAATTACTTCAAAAATAGAACAAAACAAGTCCCAGAGATTCTTTCAAACCACTTCAAAAATAAAACAAAAAGGGGTCCCTGAGATTCTTTAAAATTACTTTACAAACTGAACAAACGGGGCCCCCGAGATTCTTTCGAACTACTTCAAAAACAAAACAAAAGGAGTCCCAGAGATTCTTCCAAACCACTTCAAAAATAAAACAAAAAGGGGTCCCTGAGATTTTTTAAAATTACTTCAAAAATAGAACAAAAGAAGTCCCTGAGATTCTTTCAAACCACTTCAAAAATAAAACAAAACGGGATCCCTGAAATTTTTTAAAATACTTCAAAAACAGAACAAAATGGGCCCCCGAGATTCTTTCAAACCAATTCAAAAATAAAACAAAAGTGGTTCCCTGAGATTCTTTAAAATTACTTCAAAAACAGAGCAAAAGGGGTCCCCGAGATTCTTTCAAGCAACTTCAAAAACAAAACAAAAGAAGTCGCTGAGATTCTTTCAAACCACTTCAAAAATAAATCAAAAAGGGGTCCTCGAGATTCTTTCAAACTATACTTCAAAAACAAAATAAAAGAAGTCCCCAAGATTCTTTCAAACCACTTCAAAAATAAAACAAAAAGCGGTCTCTGAGATTGTTTAAAATTACTTCAAAAATAGAACAGAAGGAGTTCCCGAGATTCTTTCAAACTTCAAAAACCAAACAAAAGGAGTCCCAGACATTCTTTTAAACCACTTCAAACATAAAACAAAAAGGGGTCCCTGAGATTTTTTAAATACTTCAAAAATAGAACAAAAGGGGGCTCCGAGATTCTTTCCAACTACTTCAAAAATCAATCAAAACGAGTCCCAGATATTCTTTCAAACCACTTCAAAAATAAAACAAAAAGGGGTCCCGGAGATTCTTTCAAACCACTTCAAAAATAAAACAAAAAGGAGTCCCTGAGATTTTTAAAAATTACTTCAAAAATAGAACAATAGGGGTTCCCGAGATTCTTTCAAACTACTTCAAAAACCAAACAAAAGGATTCCCAGAGATTCTTTCAAACCACTTCAAAAATAAAACAAAAAGGGGTCCCTGAGATTTTTAAAAATTACTTCAAAAATAAAATAAAACAAGTCCCAGAGATTCTTTCAAACCACTTCAAAAATAAAACAAAAAGGAGTCCCTGAGATTTTTAAAAATTACTTCAAAAATAGAACAATAGGGGTTCCCGAGATTCTTTCAAACTACTTCAAAAACCAAACAAAAGGATTCCCAGAGATTCTTTCAAACCACTTCAAAAATAAAACAAAAAGGGGTCCCTGAGATTTTTAAAAATTACTTCAAAAATAAAATAAAACAAGTCCCAGAGATTCTTTCAAACCACTTCAAAAATAAAACAAAAAAGGGTCCCTGAGATTTTTTAAAATTACTTCAAAAATAGAACAAAAGGGGTTCCCGAGATTCTTTCAAACTACTTCAAAAACCAAACAAAAGGATTCCCAGAGATTCTTTCAAACCACTTCAAAAATAAAACAAAAAGGGGTCCCTGAGATTTTTAAAAATTACTTCAAAAATAAAATAAAACAAGTCCCAGAGATTCTTTCAAACCACTTCAAAAATAAAACAAAAAGGGATCCCTGAGATTCTTTCAACTGGCTTATAAAACAACACACAGAAAGATCCCCGAGCTTTTTTCAAATTGTTTGAAGGGCAAAAGATCGTGGGTAGGAGCGGATGCGGCCATCCGGAAGTCGGGAATTTTTCGGTAGCTGTAGTACACCAGAGCACCGCTGCCCGAATCCAAATTTTATATACTGATACAAGGGGTGTCTTATTACATAAAACTCCGCAGCTTGAAAGGGGGAGCTTGATTTAGTACACTGCAAATATAGCATATACAACGTTGCAACATAAACCTATATTTTTGATAAATGAATAAATTACGATAACAATTATCATTTTCAAACATAAAAAATATAAACAATTAAAAGCGTTGCGATAACAAAAATTACACCTTAATTGCATTCTAATAATAAAGTAAAATCTTAATTATAGAAAATAAGGTAACTCAGGCATTGTACGTATTTTATTATCAGTAAACTTCGTATCTGGAAAAGTTATTAGCCAGCTGTTACATTATTCATTTTTTATGCAATTATGGAACAATTAACTCACTACGACCCAGTAGCATGTTATTAATCCGATAACCAAATGACATAAAGAACAAATTCCACGGCACGTCGTATGGTGCCTCGGTATGTAACCCGAACAAGCACACAGTGGAATTTCAGCTTTAAACAAAATAAAAACAAATCGGAAATTATTTCCTTATCAAACCCCATTTTTCAATTATAATGTATTTAATAACTCTTTTCAGATAACGGTCACTTTAGCAGGCGCAAAATCAACAATTCCTGAGCTTTCATGTGTTTTATCAAAATTTCAAAGTCCATTTGTGACGTCATCGATTTTTTTAAAGAGAATGGTGACACATTTTGGTCATCGTTTTGCTCCTTCCACGATAACCTTAAAATTTCAAATTGGGTAATTTCTGACAAACGGAAAATTTGAAATTGAACATTCATCAAAATGACCTGATTCCAATAATTCCCGACTATCGTTCCTGAGTAAAAACACTGTGGGAAAACCAAACAACGAAACAACAAATGCAAATCCACAACTCCGTGCGTGAAGAACAAACTCCAGCCATAAAAACTAGCAAACAAAAACAAAAACAAACCGACGCTAATTAGCCGTGTTTAGTGTATTGTTACTTTCAATTATACCGAAGATGACCTCCGTTCTTCCTTTCTTACCCAACCGCAACAACAGTAAAAGTGTACACACAACTCGGCGCGCTTCCTCGACTCCTCTTTTTCAAATTTATTATTTACTCCGCGATGTTTGCACACATACGAATTACACGCGCAAACTAAATTACCGTTATTCTTATTAAAATTCATAGGGATCATCTTTACCACGAGCACGTCTACTTTGACACGCGGAACACACAACACAAAAACCAAAATAAATCGCCGCGGCGAAAGTAAAATCGTGACTTACCTGTCAGAAAACGGCGTTTCTTCGAGCACTCGAGGACGTCTTGACGAAAATTTTCGAAAAGTCTGTGAGGAAGTTGTGGACCGCCGAAATAATACGATACGTACAGGTTAGCTTTTGCGAAACACACACCACACCTGCTGAGACTTTTGCCAAACTGACCAAACTGCGAGGAAGCAACTGACAGTTCAATGAAAGCAAAATGACAGAACATAACAAACTTCGGTGGCGCCATCGCGCGGTGGAAATGACAAACAAGAGTGGGTAGAACAGTTATCTGTGTAACGATTATGAACCTTCTTATCAGGTTTTTTATGTCATTAAAGTTATGCGTGAAATTAAATGGCTGTTATATGTCTTTTCAAAATTTAAGCAAATTTCAAGGTCGACAACTTACCAGTGTAGTTAGCGAAGATCACAACCCTCGCAAAACTGTAGGGTCGCGGACGTTACACTAAACAACACGTTTTGTTGTACACCTCTATAATATTGTAAACAAAAGAAAATGTAACTAAATAGTATGTTATATAACAGAAAACACAAAATTTATATTGCTTTCACTCTCATGTTTCAACACTGCTGCTGTACATAACAAGGACTTTAGAGCCGTTTGTATTGAGGACTTAATGCTGATTATTGTTGACATTAAATGCCAAATGGAAAAGTGACAAGCTGACAAGTTATTAGAAAAACCGTCGTCTTCGTTGATTCACTATTAAAGTCTCTCCAATCCCTTAAATGTGACATGTGAGGGCGCATACGTCGGGAGGGAAAGGAATCTGTAATGTCGGCTAAATGTCTGTCATGGTCTGACTTTTTGACACAATTTGACATCATGTATTTCGGTTTTTACTCGAAAAAGAGGCAAAATTTCGATACCGGTGCCAAAGTCACAACGCCATGGGCGTGGATGGTCTTCAAAGGGATATGCAGTAGGAAAATTTTTCTTTGAGATGTTTACATTGTTATCGGAATGTGTCACAGGAATTATGAAGTTGCATTCTGGATCACGTTTAGTGCTTGCTGGGTAGCTTGAAGAAGTAGGAACAGGTAGCGGTGACTTGGAACCATGGAGGAACAAAGTAGGAACAGAGCCGGGTTTAAGTCTTTTATTTGAATAATAACAATTTCTCTCAAGAGTGTTTACCACAAATGTATAAATTATTGGCAATATTATCACCTGAAATGGTTTTAATGGCTATACATTCCCTTAGGTAAAAGATTCATGTTGGGGTACCTACTTGTAGCATTAAAAAGCTTTTTGCACCACAACTTTTTGTTCACAGTGTTTGAAGGGAATCTGTGCATTATTTTGTGGTCTCTAGGATCCTTGATTACCCCACAAACAGGCACAGAGCAATATTTTTTGGACATTTTGATAATATCAATTCAAGCACAAACTGTTTTGGTGCGTGACAAAACGGATTAAGTACAGGTTCCTGTAACTCCCGAAGGGGGTGACATCTTTTGATATTTTCCCTTTTGACAAGTCGGACGATTGTAACTAATTGGAGAGACTTTAATAGTGAATCAACGAAGACGACGAGAAAAACATTCCGATTCAGAATCAGAATCGAGAGAAATTTGATTGGGGGGTATGTCTTCATATGGTGCATTACCCATTAAACGCTTCCAATCATCCCTGATCAGCCGTTCACAATGTCTAATAAAATTTTGCCATTTATCTGCACCTACTGTAGCAAGAGCCTCCCGCCATAAGGACTGTACAACACCAATAGGACCACCGCGTTCCCGAATATGTTTATTGTAATATAGTTTTTGCACTCATGACCTTTTTTGATAGCTTTCGCGCATTCACCAGAGTGCGGGAGGTCGAACTTCCCGCACACGTGCATTTAACTTCCCGTTGCCATGGTAACCTTAAAATACTCGGGTAGTGTCAACATTGTGACGTGTTGACGGCGCTGTCAATGGCGTTGTTTATAAATAACTCACAGTTAATCTCTTCAGTTTAAAGGTTTATTCGTCGCAAAAAATATTGTACACAACACGTTCGTGAGCCTGCTTCCCGCATTCACGCAAATGCGGCACTCCCTTCGGTCGTGCCTCAAACAAGCGTTCATGCGGGAAGCAGGCTATCCCGAACTAGTTGCGTAAATTACTATTACACTCTCCCTATGCCAGTTCAACTGGATTATACTGACAGTGGTAGGAATATTGAAAAATAGGTGGATAATTCCTCTTGCTCTCGTCACTGCCATAGCATTTACCCTAGACGTAATATTTATAAATCTGTTCTTTTAGGATCTCTGCTGGGTGCTTTTAAGTTGTTCTTCTAACTTCTCCACTCCGTAAGAACATAATCTATCATAAATATTGCGATAAAACGCGCTCATAGAAACGATTCAAATTTAATGCGGTTCTTGACGTCTCAACTGACAGATCAGTTACTAGCATTGTCGATAAAGTAAAATAAGGAGGTGTAAAAAAATACTAAACTACACAGTTAAGAGTAAATTTTTGGGTTTTGCGTGTCCTTGACCTTCGCGCCCATTTTGAAAAATAATATACCTCTGGAAATAAAGATGTTTTTCAGTAAGTTATTAAAAAAAATAGGTCACAACTTGTTTATTTTTATCGCGTTTATAATGACATTGCGACTTTTTTATCTTAAGTCAAATATTAACAATAAATGAATTCTGTAATTTATTGCTACAGTTATTCAATGTTTATACAATTCGTCACACATCCCTGGAAACTTAAATCAGCAAATATTTGCCGCTTACCTTGACTAACCCCATATTTTGACAATTTGACCATATGCGTATTTCGATAAAGCGGCAAAATCAACGCCTACTTTAATTTTAAAAGACAGGAATTAACGGACAGATTAAGTTGACGTCATCAGCTTTCTGCAGAGGATGAATAACGACGCAGACGTTCAACAAGGATTTTTTTTTAAATAAAATGAATCCAAGTTTAACAATTTATTAATAATATTACATTTTATTGTATTGTTTCATCTTCCTAGAAGATTTAAGCCTGAAAACAGACAACCCACTTAAAACGTGATTAGTGGCAGTGTATTAAAGAAAGCATGCAAAAAAAAACAAAACTAAAAAAGTATCCTTTATTTGTGAAAATAAAACCTATTACAAAATATGTTACATGAGGTTTATGTACAGTTAATAAAGTTTAGTGTCCAAGATATAACAAACGTTCAGTTACATGAGTAACTACTATACAGTCGACATAAAAACTCAACATTAAAGGGAAAATAAAGTTAACCTAAAAATAATACTAAACCTGTGAAATATTTCTATAAAATTCTTTTAGTATCACAGCACAAGTTTGAAGGGAAACACACAAATAAAACGTGTTTACAAAAAAAAGAAAACAGATACAAAGCTCTAAACCAATGTTACAAATACTAAAAAATAAACATCATTTTTTCATAAATCTACTTACTTGTTCCGCGCTAGAAGTTTGCGGAGTCCCTTGTTGTACATTAGATGTCGGTTGAACCGTAACAGCCACGATTGAAGCACCGCTGGCGGTCTGTAGTCTCACGGGACTTCCCTGTCTAACAACAGTCGGATTTTGTAATGCCGCAGAAACCTGCGATAACAACTGCGCTTGCGTACCGCCCTGTCCTTGGACTTTGATACCCGCTAAGGCACCCGCCAACGTCGAAGAGCCCTGAGGGCGTAAAGCCGAGCTCAAAGCCTGCGATGTTGCTGCCACCACCTACCAAAAAATCATAAACATCATAGAAAAAAAAAATCACCACAAGCACAAACCTGTATAGTTTGCTTAGTCCCTTGTGACGTATTTACAGGTATCACTCTCGTCGGAGTGCCTTTAGCGAGCACGACCGGACCCCGCGTTAGTCCAATCGGGGATCGCATCACTTGCGTGAACTGTTGCACCGTCATGGCCGTCGACAGAGGTTTCGGACCCACGATAAGCTGAGTCTGAACGTTATTCTTCCCGCCGACTTGAGCGATGTTCAACTTTTGAGGTCCCAGTTTCTTGTGAGCTAGTAGCTGCTGGTGAATTTGGAACTGCTTGAACTGCTGGGTGTTCGCCGCCTTGATAGTCGGAGTTATGGTTTTTCCTGTAGTTGCTAGCGTCACCCCAGAAACCGGGATCGTCACGGTTTGAGTCACTGCAAACAATTTTATTGCTTTTAGTGTTCAACTACATGTTGCACATCTTTATTTAACTCACCTCCGCCGCTGCTCGACACGGCTTTGACCAAAGTCGCTACTTGTGTCCCCGAGGTCCCCGCCTGCTGCACAGCTTGCGCTAACACCTGCGACGGCAACCCTTGAATGGTCGAGGCTTGAGTGCCACTAGCCACCGCCGCCGTTATAGTTTTTTGTTGTTGTTGTTGCTTCTTGAACAACTGAGTCACTTCGTTTTCGGTAACCGTCCGAGTTAGACCGGTTTTAGCACCCACGGTTACAGCCTGTCTGACGAACTGCGGTCGCGGCTGGGCCTGGGTAAGCTGAACGACGGCTTGTTGGCCCCCGATCGTGACCGTCGAGTTTTTCACTGTCTGACCGGAAATTGTTCCCGTTTGCAACCTCACGTGAGGTTTGAACGTGCCACCGGCTTGCTGACGTATGAGTTGTAGCTGCGCTGAGCTGATCGACTTGGCTTGGATAGCGGTGGCTGTGCCGCCGTCGGATTTCGCCTGGCCTGGGGAAGCCCCGGAGACTATGAGTCGTTGAGTGGCGGCCTGTAGTTGCGCGGGACTTAAACCGGCCACCGAGACCACCGTCGATGCTTGAAGCGGCGATGTTATGATCCGCTGGGACCGGATTGTGTCTAAAAATGACAGATTTATCAGAAATTCTAAATAATCAGTTGAACACTTCGAAAAATACATACTTGGAGGAATCGCCGGAGTCGTAGACACAGTAGTCGTCACCGCCGAAACGACATTCACCGACTGCGCAACCGTGACTTGCGCAGTCACCGCAGTCACAGATTGCCCGCTGGAAACAGCGACCACTTGAGGCAACGTGGTGGAAGAACTTGCCTGCGTCAGCGGCAGCAAACCTTCAAAAACAAAATCAATACCGGCCCCAAATCAACAAAAAACACCACACCTTTCATCATTTGGAACCGAACGATTTGTTGTTCCGTCGTCATCGGTTTCTTCTCTCTCGCCAGTCTCTCAGCCCTTCTCGCTGCCACCTCCACCGGTAAAACCGGGTGGTCTAAATCGATCCCGCATTCCGTCAACATGGCTGTATGTTTCGGATTTTTCGGCAACGGATTATTACTCACGCTCCTCTGCGCAGGCACCCGTTTGTTCGAAATCGACTTAAGCGAATCAAACCTCTGAATCATAATCTGAGAAAACTTCGAATTGTTATCCTGAGTGTACAACTGAGAGGTGCGCATCGGTCGGTTCGATTTCTGCTGAAACGGAAACTTCTGCATGGCACCACTCTTGTTTTTCTTTTTGCGAACGGAATTATCGAAAACTTGTTTTCCTTCTTCGCGCTGGATTAGCACGGTTTCGTAGCGTTGGCGGCATTGTTTCGGCGAACGATAAGTGATAGAAACGGTGTTCACGTAGTCGGCTACGAAGTCCCAATTGGGGGTATGACCAGGTGAAATCACCAATAAGTTCAACGGGAGCCCTTGAAACGACTGTATTACTTTGAGTAGCGCCATGTCTTCGTGGACTGTCCAATCGTGCCACAAAGGCGTCTCGATTGTCGGTTTAGGCACATTCGTTTTCCCCGAAATGGGTAAAGTGTTCCTCATCAAACCCCGATATTTTTGTAGTTTCAAGTCTCGCTTAAGTTTCAAACTCGTAGCCGAATGAAACAACGACTTGGGGGCGTTCATCGAGTCTTCTTTTCTCGGTATCTTCAACGCTCGCCGGCTGTCCACAAAACCGGCTTCGTGCCGGGTTCTCTTTGCTTCTTTTTTCACGTAAATGGGTGGCAGTTGCGATTCCGACATTATATTCATGTCGTAGAGAAACGACATGGTTTGGTCGATGTAAATGTCGGTGTCTTGCTGAGGCGGCGTCGGAGGACACCACATCTAGAGGGACATGATTTATTAGAAGTTGCGTTTTATACGATATTATAATTGAAAAAACCTTAGCGATACTTACAGGCATTTGTTCCATGGTATTATCAGAAACCCATATCTGCAACACAGGATAAACAAAAACGTAATTTAATGTAAATTTAGCCAAAAGGCTGGGCGAAGAACTCAGAATAGCGATAGTCCTGCTTTCAGTGTAGGTGCTTTTAGACGGTTATTTATTAGGGGCTTACAGGTTTCAGGAGATGGGCGCAAGACAAATGGTGTTTGAATTTTGAAACGAAACTAATGTAGACTGAAGTTTAAGAAATTTGTTATTTGTGAATATATCCAAATTTGGTCAAGTGGTAAAAAACTTGACTTTACTGAGTAATTCTATATATATTTGGTCTGTAAATGACTACTTTAAAAATACACACTCTAGTGCTGCAACGCTGAGAGAACAAATTTAATGGCACTTAAGTGAGGGTTTTAATTTTTTTGTAGATCTTGTAGTTCAGGGATCAAAATAACTTAAGATATTCTATGTTGCCTAACCCTTGATGCTCTCAGCTACCTCCTTACAGGGTAAAGCCTGGACAGGGAACATCTTTTTGTCAATATAAAGACAAATAAGTAAATAAAATTGTGGTGTACCTACCCAACGCATTTTTTTGTGGATTGGTCGAAGGGGATGGGACGATACTGGGGTGGGTAGCGGGTTTATAAAGAAGCCGCCTTGCTCGTGTCCAGCGGGGCAGTGTTTTGGTGCCCGCTGCGGACGCCGGAGCAAGAAGGCACCAAAACCCGCGTCCACCCCGCAATGAAACACAGATTCGCAAGAGAACTTCTTTATTCAGTATGTACATGACAAACGGTACGTAAAAAACGAGCTGGTAAAAAGGAGAAGCACCGAGATTCAAGTAAATCACTCGGCAAAATATAAAACTAAAAAAATGTAATTTACAATATCTGCAAGTAATAGCGCAAAAATTATTCAAGACTATCACAATTCTTTTCCTTCGGCATTTTTAAAAATTTTCGATAAATTATTTACAAGACGTATGAATCAATTTTTAGTCCCTGAGCGTTTATGATTTAATATATATAAATGACGAAATGGCTCTCAAATCGCACTTCTGTCACATTTTCTCTAGACGAAAACCAATGCCAAAAGAAAAGCGGCTTCAGGACAAAATCGCATAACCAACGCAATCTGTACAATAAAAGTGAAATTCTCTAGGTAAACAGTTGCAATAATGCTCATTCACACGTATAATTTACAATTATTCGCATAAAAACGATCTGTAAAAAAACTATCATTCTAACTGTTATTATATACACGATAAGTTGCTTTATCATCAATCACATATTCACAATTTTATTCAACTAAGTTGTTCTTTATTAACACTATCGTTTACTCTGTTTTAATTACTTTATTCTGAATACTTGAGTCTGCATCGTTTAACTCGGCCTCTGAACTAGTCCGTTTTAAAGACTCATTCGACTCACTCGTACTTTCGAACTTGTCGTCCGAGTTCTCACTATTAAATGTGGAAGTCTTATTTACAGGCGACCGCGTTACCCAATCGTCGAGAGTTCTATTATTTACACACGTGGCGAACTTTTTATTTTTTAAACTAACTTTCGGCCTACCCTTGGAATCATTCCTACTATCTTCTATACTAGTATCAAGCTGTGGGGATTCGGAATTATGATTGACACTAGGTGTCTCCACTTTATCTTCAGTGCCAACATCGTTCACCTTATCATCATCTGCAACACTCGGAGATTCATCAACAGCCTCTGCACTAATTTCAGCGCAATTATTTTCCGCCGGATTCTCGAGCAACGTTTCCGAATCCGACACAGCATTCTCGGGTGTTGCCGACAGAGTATACTGACCTCCCGATATGATGTCATTAAGCACGACTTTACAAATTTTCCCTTTGGGTATAAAATTATTGACTGAGCCGTCGTTGTTTTTATCGTCAGAAAGCGAATTCTCACAGTCGACTTCAATTTTCTCGTCGTTTTTGTCCTCCCCGTCGTTGGTTTCTTCGCTCTCGTCGTGATTCACGACGTCCTCTTTCTTTCTAGTGGCCGCTTTTCGCCTAGGTCGCCCTACGCTCTTACTAAGCACCTCGTCGTCCGACTTTCCATCTTTCGGCATATCTTTCTCGACGCTGCTACCTTTAACGCGCTTCGCGGAATGATTCGGTGAATTTTTAACCGGTTTAACCCCGGGTAAGATCGGACTGACGTCCAAAGTCCAGAGATTGATTGCTACAGTTCCACGTGACCTCGTCCTCGGAGAGTTCGTATCAACGTGATTCGTTGGAGTTTTCGTTATGTACGATCTCGATTCACCGTCTGATTGATCTTCGCTCTCGTCGTTCTCGGTGGAGTCCGTGTCTCCGTTAAATTTGTGCGATTCTACGGAGTCGTCTGCGCTTTGCGAACACTGGGAATTGTCCGACTCCTCCGTCTGAGTGTCGTCTTTTTTGATAGCGCTCCTTCTGGTCAAGCGACGTCTGTTAAATTTCCTTTTTAGTTTTGCTTTGGCAATGCTTCTATCACTGGGGTATTTATTTGGTATGATTTTTTTCATGATTTTGTTACCTCGGGGGGATTTATTACACATTTGTTGGCGATTTCTCATGGCACGATTTTTATTAAATTTCTTCGCGGAACTAGCGTTATTAACTCGTTTATTTTTACTAGTGCTAACCTGGTTTGTAGCGTCCTCCCGTGAAAACGTAATTAAATCGTTCTCTTCCTCCAGTTCGCGGGCTCTTCGTTCTTCTTCTTCGCGCATAGCGGCCAAGCGGTTCTTCTCCCACTCCCTCTTCTGTTCTTCGATTTCGCGTTCGGCGGCCGCCAGTTGTTCGGCCGACCAGGCCGACTCGGTCTCTTCGATGAACTTCATGGCGTATTTTTCAATGGGAGACAGCTGGAACGGAAAGATTACAATTACAACCGAATTAGTGCGAAAATTGGCCACGAGATCAAAGTCGAGATATATGCACCACGAGGGAAAAATGGTCAAAGGATATTTCGACAAAACTCTTGAACAACACAAATTCCGCTTCTATGAAAAATTATAACAAAATTTTGTTTTCTCATAACCTTTATACTTATATTAAAAACCAGTGGTGTAAATGGCACCTCGAACCACCGCGGGGGCCCAAATTCCAAGGAGATGCCGTTCGTAGACTCACAAAATACGAAATATATTTAAAGCAAATAACCAACGGAAAAGAGTGTATTCTTAACAGTGTACAATTGTACATGTTTAACTTCGATTGTTTATGTTTATACATCGAAAGAATGTCACGTAGAAATTTGTTTACTTTTAATGAGGACTAAAATTATTAATTAAGCCCCGATGGAACAAACTGACTCAGAATCCACAAACATTTTTGACAAGATTGTCTCAGCAGTCAAAGTTCTTGTTGCAACATGAAATCGGACAATGGGTCCAAAGCTTTGACGAAAGGAACAGAACATTTTCAACATTTACTATGACGTTTAACCACAATACATTTCTTTTTATTGCAATGAATTAGTTTTATTTTTTGAGATATGAAGAATTTAGGCAACCAGTTATACAGATGCGTGTGGTATTTGTCGTGCGTCCTTGGGCATTTAGTAACATTCGCATAAAGTGATAGGCGGCACACATCCATGACCTACTTCGACCCTATAATCATTTATAGAAACCCTGTATAATCCGACAAATCCAGCTCTTTAAAAAAAAAATTATAAAATTTGATTTTACGATTTTAGTTTTGTGATAACCAAAGCATAACGAAATAAATACTAGAGAAGATGTTCAAAATTCCTGCCTTGTGCATATAAGTAAGCTCGTAATATTTCCAAATTTTGATAATTTTTTGTAAAAGTTAGTCAACAATACTTGCTAAGATAAAACTGATTTTAGCAATGACATAGCCTCTAAGAAAAGAGGGTGGGTGGGCGGGGCTAGTACCTGCTAAGATAAGACTGATATTGGCAAATGACATACCCTCTTAGAAAATGAAGGGTAGAGGGTATATCATTTGGCAAAATCAGTCTTATTTTGGCAAGTACTAGCCCAACCCACCCGCCTTTTATTTCCCTAGAAGGTATGTTATTTGACAATATCAACCTCCTAAGAAAATGAACGGTAGAGGGTGTATCATTTGGCAAAATCAGTCTTATCTTGGCAAGTATTGGTATGGTAAAAACCAGAGGCATAAATAACACCCCTTGTCCTGAAGCTCAAGTGATTATTTATGTTTATATTATATTTGGAACGTTATTTATGTATTCACTAAATCATTTTCTTAGAAAAATTAAATAAAAGTTTATTACTAAAATATATCTAAAATTTCATAATAGTCTGGTAGTTTCGGAAGCGACAGATGATTGAGAGACGGAAACGGAAGACCTAATTTTACAAACGCTAGAGATTATGAAACGCCGAGAACGACTACTACAAGATTTGCACAAGATTTTTTAGTCACCTAGTCACAGGTCAGGTCAGATTGTGCAAGTTGTCAGTGTTCTTTGTTTTTTATATTTCTATTTTCTTAGAAGGTACATCATATGCCAAAATCAGTTTTATCCTAGCAAGTACTAGCCCCGCCCACCCACCCTCTATTTTCTTAGTTATTATGTCATTTACCAAAGTCAATCTTATTTTATCAGGCAGTAACCCCGCCCACCCACCCTCTATTTTCTTAGATGGTATGTGATTTGCCAAAATCAGTTTTATCTTAGCAGAGATTATTATTATTTGTTTTTCTGTAGTGGGAAAGAGAACTAATAGAATTTAAGCTGTTAAATAAGTAAAAAAAGCTCTATTTGTAATTTTTTCAGAAGAAAAAAATGATAGAACGGGTGGGTGGGCGGGGCTAAGTCGAACTTTTTCCTACATAGTGGCCTATCCACCCTCTCACACTGTCAATTAATGACAACATTATTATCTTTAGAACCTCCGGCCGTATTGCCGTTTGATAACTTCATCATAGTTGCCACATCAGCATCTCTTTAAATATATTTAAAGCAAAAAACCAACGGAAAAGAGCGTAATTATCAGTGCACATGCTGAACTTCGATTGTTTATGTTTATACTTCGAAAGAATGTCACGTAGAAGTTAGTTTGATTTGAATGAGTTTGTCTTCTCAAAACAGGACTAAAATTATTAATTAAACCACAATCGAACAAAATGTTCTGAATGTTATAATTCTTTTTCTACCATTTTTATACAAAGACGTGCGTATTCTTCACATTTTCGAGAAAATGGGGTGACTCGTTTGACCCATAAAAAATTGTGACGACGTCATCAACATTGATAATAGTCACAACATAAACGTACCAACCGTGTCGGGAATAAAACGTTATTATACCTTGCAAATGTTTTTACGAAAATTTAAACGTTTAGCGAAAAAATGTGTCTACAGACAGAGAGGCGGAAACGGGAGACTGCAAGAGAAAACATAAAAGTGGCATTTCGTCCGATGGACTCGATTACTATACTTCCCTAGGTTACTCTGGAAAAGTAAAAATGACAATAATTTTTAAATGATTTGTTCGTCTGCCAAGTTAAAAAGAGTATTACGTTTTAAATGAACAGCTAATTAAAAATGTTTAATAAAAACAAAATATTTTGTACGAACGAAAACCCCTACCTTCTTAATGATGTTATCGATTTCCTGTTCCGCTTTGCTCATCTCGGGCTCCTTTTCCTGCTCCTCGAGCGGAATATTTTCGTCGAACTCGGCCAAATCGGCCACCGCCTCGGCCTTGGCCGTCCGAGCGGCCTGAACGTCTTGGTCGTCTTCGCACGCAGCTAACGCGTTCTCGAGAGCTCCCAGCGCCACCTTTTCGTCACCACCAGCAGAAGGATCGGATCCGCTGGCCGCTGCGGCGCGTTGTTCTCGGCTAGCCACCACTTCCGACATTCTTTTAGCGGCGCTTTCTTCATTGGCGTCGATTTCGAACAGGTCTTGTATGGTAGACTACAACGCAAACATGTTTTTTGTGTTTCTAATGCGAAACGCTTGGACTTACGCTTTTGAAGTAAGCCGTCGTGAAGTTCCCCCCTTCGATGGCGAGGTCACCCAACAGTCTTTTTTGATTGGCTTTTTTCAAAATGTTTTCTTCTATGGTTCTTTCGCTCACCAGTCTGCAACGTTTAGTAGTTTTAGTTAATGAAAGGGAAAAATGGTGCCCGACTGACCTGTATATGTGGACGTCTCTGGTTTGTCCAATGCGGTGACAACGGTCTTGCGCTTGAGCGTCCATTGTGGGATTCCAATCGGAATCGTAAAATATCACAGTGTCTGCGCCTGTTAGATTCACGCCAATACCGCCAGAGCGAGTAGATAAAATAAAGGCGAATATTCGCGTGTCGCCGTTAAACCTTTCCATCAACAACTACAAAATAAAAATTTTTAGTGATAAACATTTTGGTGTCGCGGGGACAATAACGTGTTTTAATGTTGCAAGGTTCTAGATAGTTTTTAAAATTGATCTTAAAAACACGCTGGCCATTGCAAAAATGATCTGCCACTGCTGCAAAAGTTGCAAGTTTTAGCCAACCCTCAACTGATCGACAGTGGAATACACATTGAAGGTCACACAAAACAAAATTACCTGTCTTTGATCCACTTTGGTCGTCCCGTCCAGCCTCAAATAAATATGACCGTGAAAGTTGAGAAACGCTTCTAAAACGTCTAGCATTTTCGTCATCTGTGTAAATATAAGCACTCGATGACCTTCGCTTTTCAGCTTCCTCAGTAATCTATCCAAGGTCTGTAATTTTCCGCAATCGTACTGGATGAGTCTGGGGTCTGGAAATTGCGTGACCATGGCCGAAGCGATGCGATGTAGAGGCGTCGCGGGGCCGGAAAGCAACGAACACAGTTGTCTTTTTGTTTCGATTTCGCCCCAATAAAGACTCGGGGGTGGGTGCCACACTTGCATTTCTGGCTCCGGCGCGCGCACGGCAGGCACGTAAAAAATAAACCTGGAATTTCGACTTTCACCCAACGAACTAAACAAACTATAAGTAACGTACCTATCACAAATATCTCCTAGTTGTTTTATTCTACTTTCTGGACTATGGACGAGTTCTTTCAAGCAAATGGACAAATCCAGATTTGAATCACATTCGGTCTCTTGCGCTTTCTTTTCTCTGCTATCCCACGAACTGATTATTCGTGTCTTGTCGTCAAAAACCGTCACGACATTACGGAGATCTTCGCCGTACAACGGAATCGCTGAACATCGTCGTTCATTGATATGAGCCATTATTTGCAATCTAGTTTTGAACTCATCTTTAAACAAATCCATCTCATCAGAAGACCCAACATCATTACCAACGCATTCATTATCCCACCGAACGTCCAAACTATTCGACTGATTAGCATATAACTGTTCTATATATTTCGAACCTACGGTTTTCCTTTCGTCTTTGTCGTCGGACTTGGAAGGACCCCCACTCTATTATTAAAACAATTATATTCAAAAAATACCAACTACACTAAACGCTAAATTACCGTAGTGGTGGCCGTGTTTGTCGTCGTCGTGGCTACCGAAGTCAACTGAATTTTCATGACGGCCTTGGTTATTTGGTGCGAATTTCCCGCGGTTAAGAGGGGCTGTTTCGATAAAAAAGTCAACTTCTGGCCACCTGCAATAGCACAAAGTGCAACCTCTAATAGTAAACTGTGTAGTTTGCACCCACATAAAATTCTACTACTCAGTCACTATCAGCACTAAAATTTTATGCAGATGCAACACAATGTGTGTTACTGTCATTCGACCTCACTACTTTTTAAATGAAGCCGCTTGGTAAGAAACACTTGCTCTCCTTTCTTGTAACAACCGCAACTCAATTTTCGAGTTACGATTTCGAATAAGAAAGGACTTGATTGGAAAACGCGACTTACCTGCTGTTGTCGTCGACACTGGAATATTTCCTGATATACTCGGGTTGGGTGTCAACAACAGATGTTTGCCCGTCGACGTCTGCACCAACTGTGCAAAACTGGCAGAAATTTTATCAGCTGGTTTTAGCACAGATGTGACACTCACGGGCGTGACTGACTGATTACTGAGCAAAGGCTGAGACAGATTGACAGGAATGGCTTTGACTATACCCTGTTGGACTATATATTGTGGAACTTTAACTTTAATGTTCGGCTGTGGCTGGAGATTTTTCCCGTTCACATCTTTTTTTTCTGTTTTAGTAGGAACATTTTTCGCGTCGTCTTGTTTCTTTATCCTCATGACAAGGCGACAAGGAGGGAGAGGAGGGACTTCGTCCGGTACTACATTCGACTCGATTATTTTACGAGGTGTTCGCATCTGCTTCATGCGGTAACTCTGATACGCACTGAGATTGTTTTCCATAAAGACGAAATTTAAATTTAGTGAAGATAAATTAAATTGCTACAACAAACAAACAAAAAAAAATCAATATTAAATGTACGTTAATCAAGTTACAATATAATTGATTAATTAGTCGCATTATCAGACAAATGCCTCATTGTCAATCACACGAGGGATTGAGCTGAATGGATCTCAATCCCTCAGACGGTAGAATTATCATCATTAAGCAGCGACTGACGTTTCATTTTAATAAAAACAATAAAACTCACCTTCCATACGTCATAATCCAGTGCGGACCGAACTAAAGAGGGGTAAAGTAAAAGTATACCGTCACTAAGAAAGGGCGATGTTGTCGGTCGAACTTCAAACAAGTTTGGATGATTACAGACTTTTCGTAACTGCATTAGAACGTTAATCACACTTAGTAAATTTCCACTAGCTAATGTTTCTCTCGTTCTGTAACACAATTTGTAATAAAAAGTCGTAAAATTAAAATGCAAACAAACTTTGCTCTTGACATATAATCGTCGTAAAGATATCGCTGCCTTTTGGATAATCTGCACAAAATCACGTGTTCGTATTTTTTCGGCATCTGCTTCTCCACTTCTGACTTAAGTCGTCTGAGCAAAAACGGCCGCAACACCTATAGAAACGACTTAGTAACGACTGACTGAATACTTTTATATTATAATAAAATGAATAAAAAATCAGACAAATGCCTCAATGTCGTTCATAAATAAGAATGAGTTGAATGGATCTCAATCTTTCTGAATCGTGTATAACGTCATCATGATAATACACACACACACTATATTACTATATAAGATTTCGGTCCTACCTTGTGCAACCTTTTGATGATATTTTCGTTGTACTCGGCGTTGCCTTCGATCATCCCGGTCACCGGGTTTGAAAACCACTCTTTAAACTCTCTATGGGACTGAAACACGTTGGGCATCAAAAAATGCATGAGTGACCACAACTCCATCAAGTTGTTTTGTAACGGAGTACCAGTTAAAAGTAGCCGCCTAAAATAAACACAATAACAAAGTCCCTAAATTAAATAAATCAAATTAAGTCTTACTGTTGCGTTTGAAAATTCAGCAACAGCTGCCACCTCTGCGACTTGAAATTTTTGATATTTTGGGCTTCGTCTAAGATCAGATATTTCCACTTTTTCCTGCGAAAACTCTGATGGTCTTGAATGACTAGCTTATACGACGTAATACAAATATGAAAAGCGTTCGGCTTCGTCCATCCTTGCCGTTTCAGCTTCCTTTCTTTCTGCGTTCCGTAGTACGTCAGAATTTTAAAAGCCGGAGACCACTTTTTGCACTCCATTTCCCAGTTTAGCATGACCGACGTGGGGACGACGATCAAGTGCGGCCCCCAGTTTTCTGCAACCCATAACGTAACTCACTGCCGTTGAATTTTTAAACCGGCTCACCTTTTTCGCACGCCAAGTGCGTCAGGAGCGCTATCGTTTGAATAGTTTTCCCTAAACCCATCTCGTCCGCCAAAATACCGTTCAGTTTTCTCTCGTACATCGTCACCAACCAATCTAAACCGATGTGTTGATACTCTCTGAGAGGCAACTTAAGCAAAAACGGTACTGTAGTCGACACCTACGATTTTTACGTTAAAAATGAGAAATCAGCGCACTGTTAATTTAATTACGTTGGTGGAAGACAGAGTGTTGCCTTTGGGTTGTATACTTTCAGCTATCGCGGCGGCGTCATTAATAAGGTCATTATTTTTATCAGTCTTTGTTTCTTCTCCCTCAGTATGAGAATCTTCAAGTAACGATTTGAGTCCTAAATCCTCCCCTTGGCTTTCATTCTCTGACGCCTCCATGTCGCTGACTTCCTCTTCCACTTCGTCGTCTTCGTCCGAACTCCTCGTGGACTCATCTGACGGTTCGTACTCATCCTCCGACACGTCCGACATTTTCGGATCTTCGTCATCGGAAACCGGGGGAAGCGGCCCGCTGTACTTTTTCCGCAATTCTTCAATACTCATGTCGTTTTCAGCCTTGAGATCCTCTAATTCTTGTTGATGATTCTGTTCACCTTCCACTCGCTCCTGCTCCTGGATGGTGTCTTCGTCATCTTCGTCGCCGCTAACATTCGCGGTACTGAAGTCTTCATCGCTCTTTGACGACTTTGAAGGTCCTTTCCCCTCATTGTCTGAAGCTTCTTCCTGATATTTTTAAACCCGCTAATTATCAATGAACTTCATTGTACACACAATAAAGAAATAAATACACTTACTGTCGAGGTTCAAACTTCAGATTTAAATTTTACTTTCAAGGGACTATCAGTTCCAAGAAGTTATAGTCAAAAAAGCTATAAACACACACCTTTTTGCGTAAAATATAGTATCCAGTTGGCGATTTGAAAATTATTCGTTTCTAGCTACCTTTGCTTCTTTTAATTTGTTTTTCTAGACTTTCTACGGTGTTTAGAAAGGTACAATCGGTACAAATGAAAAGAAACCAATGTAGTAACGACAAAGAAAACTTCTAAAAGCTGACAGTCACGTATAAAATGATTTTATTGTAACAAAATTTATGAATATCACTCACAGAGCCGCTTAATTCACTGAGTTGAATACTGTCTCTGTTTTCAAGGTAGTCTTTAGGCAGTTCTTTTAAGAAATCATCAAGATCCATTTCTGATTCCCTCTGAAGCGCAGCCACTTCTTCATTATGATCCGCTGCATCACCCAGAGCCGCTTCTTCTTGCTCTATAGTTTCTTCATCGTCGGTACTATTGTGGCTATCTGGGTGAAACTCGTCGTCGGAATTGGCTCTAGAAACCGACCTAGATGACACAGTACTAACAGGTACATTTTCAGTATTGGTCCTATTCATGCCCTCCGCCAGCAACTGCGAATACTTTTCAGTCTGATCAACGATGAAACTCAGCTGTTGATCCAAAGCCTTCTTCCTCTTCTCTTCCAGAATCGTGTGCTGCTTATACTCCACCAACTTCTCCACGTTGTTCCAGAACGTCCGTATTTCCTTGGCACAGAACGCTGCTATCCTGCGCAGGTGTTGTTCCTGCGCTTTCTCCGCCCGCTGCGCCGCTAGCGCCTTATCCTGGAAATACTTCTGCACCATTCTTGCGCACTTCTTCGCGGCGGCTTTTTTCCACTTGCGTTCTTGCGCGAAATCGGCCGCCAGCCACACCATTTCCTCCAACAGGAAGTCCCAGTGGGCTTTCGCGCGATGCATCTCCTGGACTTTCGGGAGTCGCTTCTCCGACCACAGTCCCTCCTTCTGGAGATCCGCTATCCGTTGCACCACGTACGCCTCCTGTTTCGCCTTCTCCACGATCTGCTCTTGGTTGCTCACGCTCTGGTGGTTCGAAGTTTTGACTTTGCTCGAACTCAGCTTGGTTTCTTGGTGGTTGTTGGCGACCGGCGTGGAAGTGCTCGTCGTGGTGGTTTGCGTGTGCGAAATTCCGGGAAGCGAGCTGGCGGCGGTCGCCGTGGGGGTGGTGGGCACCGTCTGCGGAATCTGTGGCTCGTCCATGGTTTCCTTCGGGTCTATAGCGTGTTCTTTTAAGTACGCCAAGTACGCTGGAGATTTGGGTTTTTTGGCGAACTGGTACAAGTCGAGGATGTTTCCGCCGGCTTCTAGGTAGTACGTTTCCATTAGATGTTCGTTGTACTTTTCTTTGATGAGTTTGGATCTTACTATTCTATGGTTCATAACGCGCTGGAGTTTGGCGGCGTACGAGTCTTTCTTTTCGGGTGTGGACGGCAATAATCTTTTGACTGGCGCTTTTGTCGGCGATGTTTGTGTAGGCATCGTCGAACTACTGGTACCTTCGCCCCCACTGTTGGGAAATAGTTGCAAACGAACGTTGGTATTGACTCGAGGCTTGGTAAGGACATTTACGATGTGTTGGTTCGCTTGGCTTGGTCTTAATGGTGAAGTCTGGTTTACTCGTGATGGGCTTATGCTAATTATGCGAGTAACTCCGCCTTGAGTGGACAAAGTACCCGGTGTAATCTGAAAACGAAATTTCAAAATGATTCCTAAATTAAAATAAATGAATAAATAAAACAAACAATATTTAATTGGAATTCTAATTAGGGCGTTGAAAATAATAGAGTTCACATTATTATCTCCTATTCCGCGAAGTATTTTTGTTTATTTGTTTAAGTGCTCACTTTCTTGTCTTCGTGGAAATATTGCATAAACCAGTGTACTCGACTTTCTTGGAAGTGTAGTTTCAATAGGATAATACGTAAATAATATAGAAGGAACCAAGTCGCTTCATAACAAACATCCACAGTTGTACAAATGGAATGAACTACAAGTAAATATGTATCCCGGAACACGTCATCAAGGTCATGATCATATCTTTTTCGGTAATTTCCATTATTCAGTTAGCTAGTTTTATTTAATTTGGAACGATGAAACGAGTTCGTTTAGCGAAGGTTCGACTACTATAAGGTAAACTGTCTGCATCCAGTCGTGCAGAAAAATTATTAATCAAAAATTAATTAAATTGTACATAAATACATCAGTATTGATTGTAAGTTGCACTTTGAACAAATGCAAATTAATACACTGAAGACCGTTCTTACGGCTCATGGAACAGAAATAGAACTGAAAAATAAATTACCGCTTTGCGCAACAATTTTCCATGCTACTGTAAAAAAACGCGTTCTATGCAGATATTATGAAATTCATTTTGCAAAAATCGATTTGCCGCACGTTTCTTACGAAAATTACTATTATCAATAAATGATTTATCGTTTTCTAAAACGCAATCAATCAAAGTCATGAGCAAGAAATACACAAGATTCTGGAAGCGAAAGTAACGTCGTGTTAGCCGGCAGATTCAGCCGAAAAATTAATGAAGGCGTCTCGAGTTTAGATTCGTTTTGTAAAAGCGGACCGACGAAAGCGCATTAACTAATTGAGATTTGACGACTATGTGGAACGAAGACGTAACAACCAGAAGTTTATAGCATTTTAACAATAATTATGTAACGGTGACTTAAATCTGTGGAATCCCGGACTGTTTTAGAAATCTGTGACACATCATTACGCGGCGAGGTCAACAATTTAACCACCTACGCCGGTTTCATTGATTTACAACTTTTGTTGGTTCAATGTTTAAAAGCCGTTGTTTTTTTAAGGGCAGGTTGATAACGCACAAGTATACAAGTTATGAAACGTCGCAAAAACCTGACGCATTTCGCAAAAGACACAAACACAGCTACCGCTGCGTCAATTTTAAACCTCCGAATTTTTTTATCTGATCAACCGAATAATGTCGATCGATGATGATCTCGTTTCCGCAGCTCAAAAGTCAAGTGTTAGAAAATGGTAATTTCGATTTCGGGATATCTCCTGAAGAGAATTTTGCCTGCTACGATGATTTCCAAGCAGCACACAAAACGAGAGAATCCATTGTCGAGTACACGTTCAGCTGGCGGCGCATAAAGCCCATAAGCGATATAAGGGAGACTTTGCGACGATTTTAATCACGCCTCCATTACGTGATTAATGAGACGCCTTTAATCATTGTCGTTATTAACGTGTTGATTTAGAAACTAGATATTAGCAACACGACGAGCAATTTAAAGTACAAAAATTTTTTTTTTAAATAACTCTGGTTCAACCGAGATTGTGTGCGTGTTTTGTAGCAATTATAAAAACACGCATATATTAAAGGCGCTGTTATGATACCTAAAATCAACGTCCAAAGCGTCACTAATTTTAGTGAAATTTTCGAAAACACTATTTTTGCATAGTGATAAATTTTTATAGCCGATTAGTGTCATCGAACAATCGCCTACACACTCGTAAATCTGTGGCAGGCGGCGCGTGCAGCTTTGAAATTCACATAAATGTCAGGGTTGTATCCAGGAAACTAATCGTTCAAGAGATTCACTCGGCTCAAAAAAAATTCATGATGTTGAAAGTCAGCTACATTCCGACATTCAAACACAAACAACTTAATATTGCACGACCTTTAGAGATGCCTCTGTTAAATTACTTACACAGAAGATACGCGGCCCTGTTCGGAGTCTGACGACCACAAAGCTTAAATAAAAGACTATAATTTGAATTTCTTAATTATAAAATTTTATTAGCATACAAAAGTACTGTGCTTACAAAGTATATACATTAAAGTTTTCGATTTGCGGTTTTTTGTTTCATTTTTTCTTTATTTTTTCAATTATTCCATTTTTAAATGTTTCGTTTTTATCATTTTTTGCTTTTTCAATTTTAATTTAATCAATTTTTAGATTTTTCAGTTTTTCATGTCTTCAGTAAGTATTAAAAAATTAAAATTAACTTTAAATCAAGATTTGGATAATGCAAAGGTAGGTCACTAAGACGCGTTCCTCCATATCTCATTAATTAATAAACTAAATTAAATTAGAAGTAAAATATTAAAGCTTTACAGTTCTTTGATGGAACATCCTATGTATTTTTTTATACTTTCACTGATTTTTTCATAGACTTGAAAACCGAAGTCTGTTTTTGAAATTTCGAAGAGACGTTGCCACGTTGTTCCACTTTATTTGAATTTTTACTTCTCCTGCATAAACTAACGAAGTATTGCCATAAAATCCGGAGAATGGCTGCTTTCATGTTTTCTCTACATTTCATGAACCCTAAATATGAAACAATAGGTCTCCCGTTTTGCGTCTGTGTGTCTGTCTGTGTATCGTCTGTGTCGATTTTTATTAGACATCTCCGAAACTACTTACTGGGAATAGCCATCATAGTAGAATCCAATAAAATAAAATAAAAATTAACCCCGCCCATCCACCCGTATTATGTGTTGTAGATTTTTACGGCCCGAGCGTAAAACTTAAAACGAATGGCTACTTTCATATTTTCTTGACGTGTCATGAACTCTAGAGTATGAAACAGTAAGTCTCCCGTTTCAATCTGTCTGCCTGTGTCGTCAGTGTGGATTTTTATTATACAGATAATCTCCGAAATTATTTAGTTCAAAAATAGAAACTCGATTAGCTATTAATAGCCTCCAAAGAAAATAAAACAAAACAAAGTAAAAATTAGCCCCGCCCACCCACCCCTATTGTCTTCTGTTTATTTTTACGTCCTGGGCATAAACGTTAAGGCGAATGACTACTTCCATGTTTTTTCGAAATGTCATGACCCCCTAGAATATGGAACCACTGTCTACCGATTCCGTCCGTCTGTCTGTGTATCGTTTGTGTCGATTTTTTTAGAAAGGTAATTTCCGAAATTACTAAGTTAGTTTGTATTTGTAACGTTTATTAACCGTTAATATACCTTAAGAGTCCAATAATTTCGATTTGCAATTTTTCGTTTCAGTTTTTTGTTTTCTTTATTTTTTCAATTTTTAGGTTTTTTAGTGTTTTGCTTTTAAAATTTTTCTTTTTTTCAATTTTTGGATTTATCAATTTTTCGACTTTTCAGTTTCTAGATTCTTTAATTTTTCGTTTCTTCAATTGTTGATTTGCAATAATTTTTCTAGTTTTTATTTTAGATATGTAATAATGATAATAATTTTAAAAATTTATTAGCATACAAAATATATACATTAAAAGTGCTAAATTATTAATTATTATTTGTTTATTTATTAACTTAGTAAGTTTGAGTTGGTATAACAAAATTTGATTTTTACGTATAGTATACATATAAGTCTACATTTACCTGTAGGAAAAGCAGGATTAATTCAAATGGGTGCCAAAATTTGAGTTTTTTTTTAATACATGGTAGTATTCCAAATTTTGATCATTTTTTGTAAAAATTAGTCATCAGTACTTGCTAAGATAAAACTGATTTTGGCAAATGATATGCCCTCAAAAAAGAAAGGGTGGGTGGGCGGGCGGGGCTAGTAGCTACTAAAATAAAACTGATTTTGGTTAATGAGATACCTTCTAAGAGAGGGTGGGTGGGCGGGGTCACTACCTGTCAAGATAAAACTGATTTTGGCAAATGGCATGCCCTCAAAAAAGAAAGGGTGGGTGGGCGGGGTAAGTAACTACTAAAATAAAACTGATTTTGGCTAAAGAGATACCTTCTAAGAAAAGAGAGGGTGAGTGGGCGGAGCAACTACCTGTTAAGATAAAACTGATTTTGGCAAATGACACAGCATCTAAGAAAAGAGAGGGCGGGTGGGTGGGGCTAGAACCTGTTAAGACTGATTTTGGCAAATGAGATACCCTCTACGAAAAAAAGGGGGCGGGTGGGTGGGGCTAGTACCTGTTAAGATGATACTAATTTTATCAAATCACATATCCTCTAAGAATAGAGACGGTGGGTGGGCGGCACAAGAACCTATTAAGACTGATTTTGGCACATAACATTTTCTCTAAGGAAATAGATGGTGGGTGGGTGGGGGTAGTTCCTGCTAAGATAAGACTGATTTTGGCAAATGACATACTCCCTAAGAAAAGAGAGGGTGGATGGACGGGGCTAGTACCTGTTAAGATAAGACTAATTTTATCAAATCACATATCTTCTAAGAAAAGAGAGGGTGGGTGGGCGGCACAAGAACCTGTTAAGACTGATTTTGGCACATAACATTTTCTCTAAGGAAATAGAGGGTGGGTGGGCGGAGCTAGTACCTGCTAAGGTAAGACCGATTTTGGCAAATAACGTATCCTCTAAGAAATTTAACTAAATTATTTTAAGAAAAGACACTAGAGGCTCCGAAAAATATTCAAATTTTTTCCAAACAGGAATACCTAGAACCTCAAGATTGTTTTAAATTTTTCAAAAAAAAAGCGGGGTCCCAAAATTAAGTCAAAATCAGGTCATAATTTTCCAAAAATAGAACACCAAATTCACCCAAAATTGTTTTGAACAATTTACAAAAAAGGCTAGCACTTGCCAAATAACCTACCCTCAAAGAAAATAAAAGGACAGGCTAGTATTCGCCAAAATAAGACTCATTTTGACCAATAATCTACTCTGCTAAGAAAAAGTACTAGCCCCGCCCACCCAACCTTTATTTTCTTAGAAGAGTAGGTCATCTGCCAAAATCAGTCTTATCTTGGGAAGTATGAGACTGATTTTTGCAATGACATATCCTCTAACAAAATAAGGGTGGGTGGGCGGGGCTAGTACTTGTCAAGATAAAACTGATTTTGGCAGATGACCCACCCTTCTAAGAAAATGAAGGGTGGGTGGGCGGGGCTAGTACTTGTCAAAATATGACTGATTTTGGCAGATGACCCACTCTTCTAAGAAAATAAAGGGTGGGTGGGTGGGGCTAGTACTTGCTAAAAATAAAAAATTTTAAAATAAAAAAAATGACAGATTGAAAAACCGGATACATGAGAAATTGGAAAATTGTAAAACTGTATAATCCGAAAATCAAATTTTAACTTGAGAACTTGAAAAATTAAAAATCAAAAAATTCCAAAAAATACTGCGGCACTCAAGACTTTTTCAAATTCGTAAAAAACAAAACACTAAAAGCTCAAAATATTTTGTCAAGTTCATCCAGCAACAAAACACCAGATTCCTTTAAATTTATCCGAAAATAAAACACCAGAGGACCTAAAATTAACTGCACACATTTTAAACCAATTTTAAAAACATTATAACTCAACCAAACTGTGAGAAGAAATTTTTTACTATTTTTCCCAGGCTCACCAGTTGAGTGTTAAGAGCGTTGCGGTATATTAAAAAAAAAATGCATATCGAACACAGCTTTGAAATAAACAAGAATTCTAAATTTATTCGTCGTATGAAATTATGGACATTTTAGAACTATATACATATTTGATAAGTTATTATAAAATTGGATTTTGAGATTTTCGTTTTGTAATAACTTCTATGAAGTAAAAACCAGTGAAGTAAATAATACCCCCGACAAAAAATTAAATATATTTAAAGCAGATAATCAACGGGAAAAAACGCAGATATTCGCAATATTCAGTACATGCCCAACTTCGACTGTTTATGTTTATACTTCGAAAGAATTCGACTATTAGCACGCAAAATCTAGACATAAACCACATGTGCCAGGAGCATCTTATTTTATAAAATTTAAATAATATTTAGTAAATATTATTTACTAACGTACATTTTCATCCTATTGTTGGTGGGATCATTTGCCAAATTTTGGTTAACACATAAAATCTAACAAGAATGGGTCCAGTAGTTTCATTTCTTATCTCTCTAATAAAAATGCGACCAAACAGACAAGATAAACAGGCAAGCGGAAACGGAAGACCATTTTTTCGTGCTATAGAGGTCATGAAACGTCGAGAAAACAAAAGTAGCCAGTCGTCCAATGGACTCGATTAAACACATCCTTGCTTTACGTTCAAGAAATAAAAACCAAAACACAACCAAAAAAAATAAAATTCGAAAAACTGAAAAATCCAAGAATTGCGAACCGAAAAAGTGAAGAAACGAAAAGTCGAAAACTCGAAACATTTCAAAATAAAAATCGAAAAACATAAAAATTGAAAAAAAAGTAAAAGAAAATGTGGAAATGAAACATTGTAAAATCAGAAAATTCAAAAGTTAAAAATTAAAATATCAAAAATTGATCAAAACGAAAAATTGTGAAATCGAAACATTAGAAAATTGTGAAATCGAAACATTGGAAAATTGAGAAATGGCAAAAGTTGAAAAGTCCAAAAATTAAAATGTGTAGAAATTACAAAACCGAAAAAATACAAAATTTAAAAATTTCAAATTGAAAACTCGGGAAATTACAAAATGGATTCGAGAAATTCACTTATCAAAAACTGAAAACTTGAAAAAACGACACTTTGTAAAATCGAAACACTGGAAAATTGAAAAATTCGAATAAAAAAATTGAATACATGAAAAATCGAAAATTCCAAAATTCAAAATTTGGACATCGAAAAATAGTAAAATCGAAAAATTGCAAATCAATAAAATAAATTGAATGATGGGAAAATTGAAAAATCAAGAAATTGCATATAAATGAAAAATTGCAAACCGAAGAAGTGAAAAAACGAAAAATTAGAAACTCCAAAAATTGCAAAACAGACAAGATAAACAGGCAGGCGGAAACGGAAGACTATTTTTTCGTACTATAGGAGCCATGAAACGTCGAGAAAACAAAAAAATTGTGAAATCGAAACATTAGAAAATTGTGAAATCGAAACATTGGAAAATTGAGAAATGGCAAAAGTTGAAAAGTCCAAAAATTAAAATGTGTAGAAATTACAAAACCGAAAAAATACAAAATTTAAAAATTTCAAATTGAAAACTCGGGAAATTACAAAATGGATTCGAGAAATTCACTTATCAAAAACTGAAAACTTGAAAAAACGACACTTTGTAAAATCGAAACACTGGAAAATTGAAAAATTCGAATAAAAAAATTGAATACATGAAAAATCGAAAATTCCAAAATTCAAAATTTGGACATCGAAAAATAGTAAAATCGAAAAATTGCAAATCAATAAAATAAATTGAATGATGGGAAAATTGAAAAATCAAGAAATTGCATATAAATGAAAAATTGCAAACCGAAGAAGTGAAAAAACAAAAAATTAGAAACTCCAAAAATTGCAAAACAGACAAGATAAACAGGCAGACGGAAACGGAAGACTATTTTTTCGTACTATAGGAGCCATGAAACGTCGAGAAAACAAAAGTAGCCAGTCGTCCAACGGACTCGATTAAACACTTCCTTGCTTTACGTTCAAGAAGTAAATAAAACACGAAGCAAATTGGAAATGAAGAAATTAAAAATGTTATCGCTTCCGGTAAGATTGAGAAAAAGTGAAAAAAGAATCCTAAATAATGTTTTTCAAATACATGAATAAATTATAAATTAACTATGTATGTATATATAACTGCCAAGACTTGGATGGATGACCGACGACGACCGGATCGCCCAGCCACCTGTACGGATCGGTCACTTCTCCAGATGTTTAATGATAAAACTACGTTACGGTTACGGACGGTGACTTAAAGTCTTAAAAAAGAACGAAAACACAAAGTTTGTAAACGCAGTTTCATTTTGAACAAGACCGCATTTACCTGGATAACTCTGTGGACCGCTAAAATTGAGCCTGTTTTTAAATACTTGAGTAAAATTTGTTATAATTGCATGACGTCGAACGCAGTTTTAAAATAATCAAGAATTGTAGATTTGTTTCAAATACACAACTAAAACAATGAACAAATGTATAAGAATGTCCCTCGGGACAGAATATTCATTCACCGCCCCACCAAGACAAACAAACTTTGTATACATTCATTCCTCTGTTCTGTTATTCTTACAAGAATGAACAAACTCGGTTACCGCCAGCTGTTTTTCGCCCCTTTCCCGAATTCCGCACCATCTTTTCCCTATTATCATTCCCGCAAATCTATCAATAATTTTGGCGCCAAGTAGGAAAGTTCCACTCACCTGGGCCAAAGCTGGAACTCCATGCGGTTGCGAAGTAGTAATAACATACTGTGCTCCTACTGCTCCTGCAACTTGAGTCAATCTCACAGCAGGGCGCTCTGCCACAGCTCGAGAGCCTTGTTGACCCTCCCGCGGGGGCAGAGCACCCTGCGTCGCCCCCGGAGTTTCGTCGCTCATCCTTCGCACGCCTGCAAGCAAAAACCATCTCCGTTTACAACCCGCTCACAAACCAAAACAAAGTGGCGCAATCTTCTTTGTCGCGAATCCGAATTTGTTTTGATGCATCGTTAGCTTGTTTTGGTGATAAATAAAAGCGGCAAAAAGCGCGACTCAAAACAAAGCGAAAAAACGGCCCGGATTGAAAAATGTGACGCAAATCCAGTGCCGCTTCCATTTAAAATTAAGCATATTTGGAGCGAAATCAATATGTTGGTGACGTAAAATTTTCTATTGACTGGCAGTCGAGAGAGAGATGAAACAGTCGTTGGCACAGAAGCCGCTTTCGGGTGGATTTTCCGCGGAAAGTACGTGAGCTAAACGGGCGAAAGGTCGCAGAAGGGGTTTCCACGGGCGAAAGCGCCCCGATTCGCAGTCCCTCCCTGGACGGGGCGCCCTACAGGCGGCCGCAGCCCAAAGGTGAGACACAAAGGATTCGTCCCCGTCGCCATGTTACTTTTTCGCATTCGCTTGACCCCAACTTACCATCATGTAATCACAAATTATTCAGGCGAAATTCGCTCATCTGCCGTTAAAAACACAACCAGCGTCTCGGTCGAACTTCAATCTACAATTGGATATTCCACGTTACGAATAAATCGCAAAACGCTGCAGATATTTTCAACATTTTACGCGCTCACAGCTACAACGCACCGCCCTGACAAACATGGCGACGGGCTCTATAGCGAACGCCCGAGCACAGCCGCCTGGATCGCCCCAGTGCGACGGGCGCATGCGCGGACGGTTGTCTGCGCATGCGCGGCGCCAATTTCGAAATTAACCCCACTTCCAGAGTACAAATCGCCACGATGGACAGAATAAACGGAGAAATGCACCCCCTCATCACGAAAGACGTCGCGGAAGCCCTGATTTCGAAGCAGATTCACACGGTTCTGGATTTCATCAAGGCGGAGCCGCAGCAGGTCGTCAAGGCGGCGAGGCTCAATTTCAGAGTGCGTAAAGTTGCGCAATACTGGATTGCTGTAACGCTGTTTTGCAGGAAGTGCTGGCCGTGAGGAATTTTTTGCTGAAAAAATTTTCAGCGGGGCCTAGGAACGGGTTCGACTGCTACAGGGACACGATTAACAACGCGGCGATTATCCCGACGGGAATTAAAGGGTAACATTGAGAAGGCTTTTTGCGTCGTATTTGTTGTGGTTGAATCATCCACAGAAATTGTTCTGTATGATCATAAACCCACGGAGCGGAGAATGTACAAAGCGAACGCCGTCTATTCTCATACATACTTACACAATTTTGCCTTCAGATTTTTTTTTCTACGACGGCGAAAAAGTTACTTTTTCACGCCTATATTTGTAACGTATTTTTTTCACATCTCTTGTTTCAAAAATAAACAAAGCAATTTGCCATACATAAAAATGAAACACAATTGTTGTTAGTAAATCAGTACAAATCAATTACACCGACATATTGCATTGTTAAATTCCACAACTGCAACGGTATGAAAAATCCTGATTTTTGACACACTCGTGACACAAGACACCGCATATATCTTTTTTTATTTTTTTTTATTTTCTAATCAGCATCTAGACATTAAAATACAACGGAATTCGTAAACCTAATTTGTGTAATTTTAAAATAATATCAGATCTTATAATTATTAGATTTGTGTTTGTAGTTAGAACCAATAGTGGCTGCGGTTTCGAATAAGTTCAAAGAAGATCGTAATTCCCAATACAAAAAATTAATAAAGTATTAGTTTTATTTTAAATTTTAGGGTCGACAATCTACTCGACGGGGGTTTATTTACCGGAAATATCTACGAAATATGTGGACTTCCGGCTGCCGGCAAGACCCAGTTTGCGTTAAACGTAATTAAAAACGTAGTCCAAAATACACAACAACACGTTTACGTATTTGATACCAAAAACGACTACTCTGGTGCCAAAATAAAGAGTCTTTTAAATGAACAAGTAAACGCATTCATCACGTTTTTAATTTTATATTTACTAATTATTATTATTTTTTTTTAATTTCAGAAACACCAAAGAAACTGTTTGAGTCGCATTTTAGTCAGTCGAGCCACCACCAAGTATGATTTAATCAACGGCTTATATGAAGTGAAAAAGGACCTAGAAAGGGGGCTAAAACTACGTCTGATCATCATAGATTCACTCCCATGCACAATTTTAAACTCAATTGACCGAATAGAAAATAATGCAAGCCTCAATCATCTTGTGAATATAATGAGATATGTTGCAATAGAGCACCACATCGTGTTCCTAGTTGTCAACTTAATAGTTACATGGAACGAAAACGACGGTCGGGATACCGTAGAAAAGACGCTTTGTGGAAAATACTGGTCCACCGTCCCCAACACCCGAATTAAAATCGAAAAAGTGGAAAGCAGTGGAATGTACAAGGTGGTGATCCAAAACAGCGACACTTTGGTTAACAAGCTCAACAGTGGGACCGACATTCGGCTCAGCAATGAGGGTTTTTTATGATTAAATTACGATTTGTTTTATGTTTTATTTTCAATTTTAAATATATTATTTTGGAAGTCACGTTCATTACTCACTAATTTCTTACCAATCGAGACGCGCGAGTAAAAACACTTAAGACTCGAAAATTACCTGAGAATCATCTTCGCAGCCCAGAATTCACTGAACAAGCTTCTTTTTTGAAATTTTTTCGAACGAATTAAAATAAAAACTCATTCTTTAACCTCCATCACATGGTTTTGACTTGACAGTTTGGTCACGTGTCGTGTTTCACGTCACCCACAATGTTAAGGTAGTGACACAACTGAAGCACGTAACGCGTAAACGCATTGATTGGGGTAAGTTATGGGGAGGAGCCTAATTGCAAAATCAGTGAAAAACTGAAAAATCCAAGAATTACAAACCGAAAAAGTGAAGAAACTAAAAGTCGAAAACTTGAAACATTTCAAAATAGAAATCGAAAAACATAAAAATTGAAAATTCGAGAAGTTGAAATATAAAAAATTGTAAAAAAAAGTAAAAAGAATGTGGAAATGAAACAACCTAAAATCAGAAAATTCAAAAGTTCAAAATTTTGTTATCGAAAAATAGTAAAATCAAGAAATTGCAAATCGTAAAAGTGGGGAATCTAAACATTGGAAAATGGAATAATTGAAAAATTGCAAATCAATAAAATAAATTGAATAATGGGAAAATTGAAAAATCAAGAAATTGCATATAAATGAAAAATTGCAAACCGAAGAGGTGAAAAAACGAAAAATTAGAAACTCGAAAAATTGAGTAATTGAAATATCAAAGATTGAAAAGAAGAAAAAAATGTTAAATCGAAATATTGGAAAGAAAAAAAAAATAAAAAATTAAAAAATCGAAAAACTGACAAGTCGAAAATTTAAGGTTACCTCTAAGAATAAAAAATTTTAAAATTTTCAAAGTAAAAATTGAAAATCTAGAAATTGAAAATGAAAAATCACAATTGTGCTTGGGATGGATATGGGTGGGGCTTAATTTTTGGCTTGTTTTTTTTTCTTAATATACATATAGTATTCTTTCAACAACACGACAATCAAAAACATGTTTTTTACTTCTCGTAGAAAAATAAGGATTTTACAATTAAGCTCCGCCCCTCGGCTTACGACGAATAAAAAAATCATCAGAATTGCGATAGGGCGGGTGGGCGGGGCTTATTTTGCCTTTTTTTTTCTTAATGTAAATAGCCATCATTTCACAACAAGAAACTTAGAACATGGTTAAAATGGAAATGGGAATTTTGCAATTATGGGGAGGAGCCTAATTGCAAAATCAATATTTGCTTATACAAATTTTCCTTTTTAAACATGTTTTAAGTTTCATGTTGTGAAAAGAAGTCTACACATATTAATATAATGAATAAAAGAAACCGAAAAATCCAAAAATTACAAATCGAGAAATTGAAAAAACGAAACGTTGCAATTTCGTAAAATTGAAAAATTAAAAATCTAGATATTTAAAAATAAAATTCGAAAAACTGAAAAATCCAAGAATTGCAGACCAAAAAAGTGAAGAAACGAAAAGTCGAAAACTTGAAACATTTCAAAATAAAAATCGAAAAACATAAAAATTGATGATTTGAGTAGTTGAAATATTAAAAATTGAAAAAAAAGGAAAACAAATGTGGAAATGAAACACTGTAAAATCAGGAAATTCAAAAGTTAAAAATTAAAATATCAAAAATTGACCCAAATGAGAAATTATGATTTCGAAACGTCAGAAAATTGAAAAATTAAAATTGAAAAATCGCAAAAGTAGAAAAATCCAAAAATTAAAATGAGTAGAAATTAAAAAATCGAAAAAATACAAAATTTAAAAATTTCAAATTGAAAATTTGCGAAATTAGGTACAAAATGGAATAGAGAAATTGACTTATCAAAAACTGAAAAATTGAAAAAATGAAGCACTGGAAAATTGAAAAATTCAAATCAAAAAATTGAATAAATGAAAAATCGAAAATTAAAAAATTTGTTCTTCTGTCGAGTGGGAGTGGAAACTAATAGAATCTAGGATGTGAAAAAAAATTAAAAAAATAGCTAATCATAATTTTTTTTATTATACTATTTGCTGCAAAATTTATTTTTTATTTCAAGCATCCGACTCTGGATAATTTTCGGAAATAATCGAAAAATGATTGAAAATGTCAAGAGTGCCAAAATCTGTCTTATCTTATCAAATACTAGCGTCGCTCTCCCACCTTCTACTTTCATAGAGTATATCTCATTTGCCAAAATCAATCTTGTCGTATCAAGTACTAGCCCCACCCACCCACCCTCTTCATATTCTAATGATTAATTTTATTTCTGTTCAGTATGAGACCATTCATTTCATTCACATCGGATAAGATAAAATCAATCTCTGAAAAGAAGGCAGGGTGGGTGGGTGGGGCTAATTATGTTCTTCTGTCGAGTGGGAGTGGAAACTAATTGACTCTGGGATGTGAAAAAATAAAAAAAATAGCTAATGAAAATTTTTTTTATTATACTATTTGCTATAAAATTTATTTCTTATTTCATTCACCTGACCAGACTCTGAATAATTTTCGAAAATAATCGAAAAATGCTTGAAAATGTCAAAAGTGCCAAAATCTGTCTTATATTATCAAATACTAGCCCCGCCCTCCCACCCTCTACTTGCTTAGAGGATATCTCATTTGCCAAAATCAGTCTCATCTTAGCAAATACTAGCCCCGCCCACCCACCCTCTTCTTACTCTAACGACTAATTGCATTTGTCTTCAGTATAAGACCATTAATTTCATTCGCATCGGATAAAGTCAATCTCTGAAAAGGAGACAGGGTGGGTGGGCGGGGCTAATTATATTCTTTTGTCTAATGCGAGTGGAAACTAATAGAATCTAGAATGTGGGAAAAAAGTAAAAAAAAAATAGTTATTCATATTTTTTTATTATACTATTTGTTATAAAATTAATTTTTAATTTCATGCACCTGACCAGACTGGATAATTTACGAAAATAATCGAAAAAGTGAAGAATTTAACATTGGAAAATCAAAAAATTGAAAAATTGAAAATCAGTAAAATAAATTGAACAAATGGAAAATTGAAAAATCAAGAAAGTGTGGTATCAATAATCGAAAAAATTAATATAAAATGAAAAATTGCAAACCGAAAAGCTGAAAAAACTGAAAATTAGAAACTCCAAAAATTGCAAAATCGAAAAACTGTTGTAAACTCGAAAAATCGAGAAACTGAAATATCAAAAATTGAAAGAAGAAAAAATGTTAATTCGAAATATTGGAAAACAAAAAAAAAATTAAAATTAAAAAACTAAAAACAGAAAAGTCGAAAACTTGTGAAAATCGTGAAACTGACAAGTCGAAAATTTAAGGTTACCTCTAAGAACTATAAAATGAAAAAACGAAGAATTATGTAAAAAGTTGAAAATCTAGGAACTGAAAAATTGAAAATGTAGAAATTGAAGAATCACGATTGTGCTTGAAATGGATATGGGTGGGGCTTAATTTTTGGCTTGTTTTTTTTTTAAATATACATAGTATTCTTTCAACAACACGACACTCAAAAGCATGTTTTCTATTTCTCGTAGAAAAATAAGGATTTTACAATTAAGCTCCGCCCCTAAGCTTATGACAAATAAAAAAAATCATTAGAATTGCGATAGGGCGGGTGGGCGTTACTTATATTTTGGTTTTTTTCTTAATATACATAGTCATCTTTTCACAACAAGAAATTTAGAACATGGTTAAAATAAAAATTGCGAGGAAATATGGATTTTGCAATTATGGGGAGGAGCCTAATTGCAAAATCAATATTTGCTTATACAAATTTTCCTTTTTAAACATGTTTTGAGTTTCATGTTGTGCAAAGAAATCTACACATATTAATATAATAAATAAAAAAAAACAAAAATCCAAAAATTGCAAATCGAGAAATTGAAAAAACAAAACTTGGAAAAACAAAACGTCGCAATATCGTAAAATTGAAAAATTAAAAATCTAGATATTTAAAAACAAAATTCGAAAAACTGAACAAATGAAAAACTGAAAAATCCAAGAATTGCAAACCGAAAAAGTGAAGAAACGAAAAATCGAGAACTTGAAACATTTCAAAATAAAAATCGAAAAGCATAATGATTGAAAATTTGATATATCAAAAATTGAAAAAAAAGTTAAAAAAATGTGGAAATAAAACATTGTATATTAGAAAATTTAAAAGAAAAAAATTAAAATATCAAAAATTGATCAAAACGAAAAATTGTGAATTCGAAACATTAGAAAATTGAAAAATTTAATTTAAAATTGAGAAATCACAAAAGTTGAAAAGTCCAAAAGTGAAAATGTGTAGAAATTAAAAAATTGACAAAATGCTAAATTTAAAAATTTCAAACTGAAAACTCGAGAAATTACAAAATGGAATCAAGAAATTGACTTAGCAAAAACTGAAAAATTGAAAAAACGAAGCAGTAAAATCGAACACTGGAAAATTGAAAAAAGAAGAAATTAGAAAATTGAAAAATTCAATTCAAAAAATTGGATAAATGAAAAATAGAAAAATTAAAAAATTCTAAATTTGGACATCGAAAAATAGTAAAATTGAAAAATTGCAATTCGAAAAGTGAAGAATCGAAACATTGGAAAATCAAAAATTGAATATAAATGAAAAATTGCAAACCGAAAAAATCAAAAAACGAAAAATTGCAAACCGAAGAGATGAAAAAACGAAAATTTAGAAACTCCAAAAATTGCAAAAATTGAAAAATCAAAAAGTACAAAAGTTGAAAAATGTAAAATTTTCAAACGAAAACCACACGAAAAGCGCAAAACCAAGAAATTAGTATATCAAAAATTGAAAAAAAACGAAAAATTGTGGTACGAAACATTAGAAAATTGAAAAGTTAAAAATCGAAAAATAGAAAAGTCGAAAAATTGAAGATCGAGAAACTGGAAAATCGAAAAAACAAGCTTATCTCTAAAAATTATACAATTAAAAATTTTCAAAATTCAAGTGGAAAAATTCAAAAGTTGAAAAATCGAAAACTTGTTTGAGAAAATGAAAAATAGAAAATTTGAAAAGCTAGGAACTGAAAAATTGGAAAACTAGAAACAGAAAAATTAAAAATCGAAAAATTAAAAAATTCAAAATGGGCATGGACAAATTGTTAAATCGGCAAATTGCAAATTAAAAAACTGAAAATAAATGAAAAATTGCAAACCGAAAAACTGAAGAAACGAAAAATTGTAAACGAAAAAAAGAGAAACAGAAAAATTAAAAACTCCAAAAATAGCAAAATGGAAAAATAGAAATGTCGAAAACTTGAAGATCGAGAAACTGAAAAAATAAAGCTTATCTCTAAAAATTATAAAGTTAAAAATTTTCAAAATTCAAATGGATAAATTCGAAAGTTGAAAAATCAAAAACTTAATCGAGAAAATAAGAAATTGAAAAAACGAAGAATTGTGTAATCGAAACGTTGCAAAATCGAAAAACTTGGAAAGCTAGGAACTGAAATATTAAAAAAATCAAAAGTTGGACATCGAAAAATTGTAAAATAAACAAAAATCAGATTATAAAAAATCGAATATAACTGAAATTGCAACAAATTTTCAAAGTAAAAATTGAAAAAACGAAGAATTGTGTAAAAAGTTGAAAATCTAGGAACTGAAAAATTGAAAATATAGAAATTGAAAATGAAAAATCACAATTGTGTTTGGGACGGATGTGGGTGGGGCTTAATTTTTGGCTTGTTTTTTTCTTAATATACTTCTTCCATTTTTTCAACAACACGACACCCAAAAACATGTTTTTTATTTCTCGTAGAAAAATAAGCATTTTACAATTAAGCTCCGCCCCTCGGTTTACGAAGAATAAAAAAAAAATCATCAGAATTGAGATAGGGCGGGTGAGCGAGGCTTATATTTTGCCTTTTTTCCCTTAATATACATAGCCATCGTTTTACAACAAGAAACATAGAAGATGGTTTAAATGGTTTATACAAATTTTCCATTTTAAACATATTTTAAGTTTCATGTTCTGAAAAGAAATTTAGACATATTAAAACAAAAAGACAAAATATAAGCCCGCCCACCCGCCCTATCTCAATTGTGATGACTTTTTTTTTATTCACCGTGAACAAAGGGGGCGGAGCTTAACTGCAAAATACTTATTTCTTTACAAGAAATTAGAAACATGTTTTTGAGTATCGTGTTGTTCAAAGAATACTAATAAGTATATTAAGGAAAAAAAAAGGCGAATTGTAAAAGTATGTTTTTAATTTCTCGTAGAGAAATAAGGATTTTCCAGTTAAGCTCCGTCTTCTTGAGTCACCATGAATAAAAAAAAAATCATTACATTCTAATTTTTTGTAGTAATCGACTTAAATCCTCCACTTTTCTTCTACAAGCTCTTCAAATACGGCAACCGGAATTTATAAATGACAATTTTCAGCTGTAAAAGCAACGTCAGCGGGAACAGCAAGTGTTTACGCTACGTGCGTGTACGCAAACCGCGCCTTACCCGCAAAGCAGCCAAATGACAGGTGACAGTAACGGCAATATTGTGCCATAACCTCAAGTTGTTACTATCATGGCAAATACGGGGGTCCTGCCCTTCGTTCGGGGCGTAGACTTCACCCGAAATGATTTCAGCGTAAGCTTACCCCAGCGTTCGTTACAAATTTAAAGCCATATTTCCAGGGTGATAAATTTCCGGATGCTGTCAGTTCCATGACTGGAGTGCAATGGCTGAAATTAGATCGAACCAATTTGGTGGAAATCCCGAAAGAAATGGGCAACTTGCTCAAACTGGAGCATTTGTCGCTGACGAGAAACCACCTTGAGAAGTTGTATGGGGAATTGACCGAACTCAACTGTCTACGCACGCTGAATTTGCGCCACAATAAAGTGAAAAGTTCGGGGATCCCAGCTGAATTGTTTCATTTGGAGGAGTTAAGTACGCTGGATTTGAGTCACAATAACTTGAAGGAGGTGCCTGATGGGTTAGATAGGGCGAAGTCGCTTCTGGTGTTGAATTTGAGTCACAATCAGTGAGTAGTCACACAAATTTGGTTATTTTTTTTTTTATTGTTTGATTGCAGTATTGACTCAATTCCTAATACTTTGTTTATAAACTTGACTGATTTATTATTTTTGGATTTGAGCGACAATAATTTAGAGACACTGCCCCCTCAAACGAGACGATTGGCCAATTTGCAAACTTTGATTTTAAATAACAACCCCTTGGGCCATTTTCAGTTAAGACAACTACCCTCATTGCTTAATTTAGAGACGTTACAAATGAGAAATACGCAGCGCAACCTTAGTAATTTTCCGACGAATTTGGAAAATCTGGTTCTTTTAACAGATGTTGACCTGGCACAAAACGCTCTACCGAAAATACCAGAAGCTTTGTATTCTCTAGCAAACTTGAAACGACTTAATATAAGTGAAAACGAAATCACGGAACTCTCTACTGGTACTCGTTTTCGTTTTATAAAAATTAAATCATGATAATTGTGTTATTGTAGCAATGGAGTTGTGGCAAAAACTTGAAACTTTGAACTTATCCCACAACAAATTAACCAGCCTTCCGCCGGCTTTGTGCAAAATTTCCACCTTGAGACGTTTTTACATCAATGACAACCAGTTAGATTTTGAAGGGATTCCTTCAGGTATTGGTAAACTTGGAAGTTTGGAAATATTTTCAGCTGCTAATAACCAACTGGAGATGATTCCTGAGGGTTTGTGCAGATGCGGCTCGCTAAAAAAGCTCAATTTAAGCTCAAACCGGCTAATAACTCTTCCTGATACAATACATTTAATTAACGATTTAGTCGCTGTTGATTTACGAAATAATCCCGATTTGATAATGCCCCCCAAACCCGTTGAAATGACGAGAGGAGCCGGACTGGAATTTTACAATATCGATTTTTCGCTGCAAAATCAGTTGCGACTGGCGGGGGCAAACGTCCCGGTGCCAACCCCAGCACAAAGTAATTTTTGCATTTGACTTAAGTAAGATTGGGTTTAAATTGATTTTTCTAGACCCTAGTAAAGACCCAATTGCGCGAAAAATGCGGCTGAGAAGGGGCCGCAGAGACCATGAAGAGGCAGATCAAGATCAGGCGAAAATCCTCAAAGTAAGAATTTCTCGATTTTATTGAGTTTTCTTAATTTTAATTTTTCTAGGGTATGAAAGACATAGCAAAAGAAAAAAATTTGAGCATGCAGACTGATGACACAAAAGCTGAATCACTAAAGTGCGTTTTTGTGTATTTTGTGTTTTTTTTTTAATAATTGAATTTACAGACCTAAGCGTTGGGATGAAACTCTGGAAAAGCCGCCTCTGGATTACTCGGAATTTTTTGAAGAGGATGCAGGTCAAGTCCCAGGCCTGACGATTTGGGAAATTGAAAATTTCTTGCCAAACAGGATTGATGAAGTAGCTTATGGGAAATTCTATGAAGCGGATTGTTACATTGTTTTAAAAACGACACAAGATAATAATGAATTGCTTAATTGGGAAATCTATTTTTGGATTGGTGAAAAAGCTCCAGTAAGATCGACATAAAACGAATTAATGAGTACTTTAATTATTTGTTTTTTTTTCTGTTTTAGCTTGATAAGCGTGCTTGTTCAGCCATTCACGCTGTCAATTTGCGCAACTATTTAGGGGCTCAATGTAGAACAATCAGAGAAGAACAAGGCGACGAGTCTGAAGAGTTTCTAAATCTTTTTGACACCCAAATAACGTACATTGAGGGCGGTCGCACCTGCAGCGGATTTTTCACTGTTGAAGACAACGTTTTTGAAACCAGGTTTTACCGAAGTCACACTGCTGGTCCTTCAATTCATTTGGAGCCTGTGGCTGTTTGTGCCGAGTCTCTGGACCCCCGGTTCGTTTTTATTCTTGACACTGGAATGAAACTCTTTACGTGGAATGGTAAAAAAGCCAAGAATACTCTTAAGTCGAAATCGCGACTTTTGTGTGAGAAAATCAATAAAAATGAAAGGAAAAATAAAGCTGAGTTGATTACTGAAGCTATGGGTAATGAAAGTCGGGAGTTTTGGGTGGCGTTGGGTGAGCTTGAGGGGGTGCCACCGGAAGAGCCGTTGCAGGTGGAGGTGGTGACGGTTGTTTGAAATTTTACTAATTTTTTTTTTTTGTAGGAACATGTTGATCCTGATTTTGTTCCTGTGGCACCTAGGTTGTATCAGATTCAGCTGGGTATGGGTTATTTGGAGTTGCCACAGATTGAAGTACCGCATGGGAAACTCACAAATAGTTTGTTGAATAGTAAAAATGTCTATATTCTGGACTGCTATTTGGACGTGTTTGTTTGGTATGTTATTTTGTTGTTGTGAAAAAATTTAAATTTTATTAATGTTTCGATTTTTTGTTTTTTTCATTTTACGACTTTTTGGTTTTACAATTTTGAAATTTTTCGTTTGTAATTTCTCATTTTATCGATTTTTATCTATATCAAATTTCCAAAATTTCTTCGAACTGAAATTTTGCAAAATTATAAAATCAAAAACGCGATAAATTGGAAAATCAGAAATTGAAAAAGTCGAAACTTGAAAAATCGAAAAATTAAATTTAAAATTGAAAAACAATTGTATAAGTAAAACATGGAGAAATTGAAAAATTAAAAATCTATAAATTGAAAAGTAAAAATAGGAAAAATTGTGAAATCGAAACAGTGGAAATTTGAAAAATTGGAAAATCGAAGAATTGTATCATTGAAACATGAAAAAATTGAAATAACAGAAATTGAAAAAACAAAACGTTGCAATATCGTAAAATTGAAAAATTAAAAATCGAAAATCTGAGAAATCCAAAAATTGCAAATCGAAAAAGTAAAGAGACATCTTAAGATAAAAATCTAAAAACACAAAAATTGAAAAATTAAGAAATTGAAAAAAAACTGTGGAAGTGAAACGTAAAATTAAAAAATTCCAAAGTTGAGAAATCTAAAATTTTCAAAATAAAAATTTAAAACCACCAAAATCGAAAAATTAAAAAATTAAAAAAGTCAATACATACTTGAAAAATCGTAAAATTGTATGCTTAAAACAGTGGAAATTTAAAAAATGAAAAATTTTACGAATTATCAATTTTTGATTTCTCATTTTATCGATTTTGGAGTTTTGAAAAATTGTAAAATTGGAAAGTCAAAAACTATAAATTGAAAATTCTAAAAATTGCAAAAACTGGAAAATCGACGAATTGTACTATTGAAACATGGAAAAATTAAAAAGTTAAAAATCGAGAAACTGAAATCCCAAAAATTGAAAAATGGAAAAATTGCAATATCGTAAAATTGAAAAATTAAAAGTCTAAATAGTGAAAAATTAAAATCAAAAACTGAAAAATCCAAAAATTGCAAAATCGAAAAACTGTTGTAAACTCGAAAAATCCAGAAATTGAAATATCACCAATTGAAAAAAAAATTCTGGAAATGAAACATTGTAAAACTAAAAAATTCAAGTTGAAAAATCTAACATTTTTAAAATAAAAATCGAAAAATTGAAAAATTAAAATATCAAAAATTGAAGAAAGTTGAAAATCCAAAAAGCAAAATGTGTAGAAATTAAAAAATCGAAAAAATGGAAAATTGTAAAAAAGAAAAATCAAAAAAACGAAAAGTCGTGAAACTGAAAAGTCGAAAAAGTCAGAAACAAAAAGTTGTAAAATTGAAAAATCTAAAATTTAAAAATTTCAAATTAACAACTCGAAAAATTACAAAATGGAATCGAAAAATTAACTTATCAAAAACTGAAAAATTGGAAAACCAAACGTTGTAAAATAGAAACACTGGAAAATTGAAAAAAGAAGAAATTGTAAAATTGAAAAATTCAAATCAAAAAATTTAATTAATGAAAAATCGAAAAATAGTAAAATTGAGAAATTCCAATTCGAAAATTGAAGAATCGAAACATTGGAAAATCAAAAAATTGGATATAAATTAAAAATTGCAGACCGAAAAAATCAAAAAACGAAAAATTGCAAACCGAAGAGATGAAAAAAACGAAAAATTAAAAACTCCAAAAATTGCAAAAATTGAAAAATCAAAAAGTACAAAAGATTAAAAATGTAAAATTTCAAAATAAAAAACGAAAACCACGAAAAGCGAAAAGTCAAGAAATTAGAATATCAAAAATTGAAAAAAACGACAAAATTGTGGTACGAAACATTAGAAAATTTAAAAATTAAAAATCGAAAAATTGAAGATCGAGAAACTGAAAAATCGAAAAAATAAGTTTATCTCTAAATATTATACAATTAAAAATTTTCAAAATTCAAGTGGAGAAATTCAAATTTTGAAAAATCGAAAACTTGTTTGAGAAAATGAAAAATAGAAAAATTGGAAAGCTAGGAACTGAAAAATTAAAAATCGAAAAATTAAAAAATTGAATATAAATGAAAAATTGCAAACCTAGAAAAGTGAAGAAATGAATAATTCTAAACCAAAAAAGGAAAAAACGAAAAATCAAGAAACTGAAATATCAAAAATTGAAAAAACGAAAAATTGCGAAATCGAAGAATTGAAAAACTGAAAATCGAAATGAAGGTTACCTCTAAAAATTATGGAATTAAAAATTTTGAAAATTAAAATGCAAAAATTCAAAAGTTGAAAAATCGAAAAGTTGATGGAGAAAATGAAAAATCGAAAAATTCAGGTATCCAGAAATTGTGAAATCGAAAATTTTGAAAATAAAAATTGAAAAAACGAAGAATTGTCTAATCGAAACATTGCAAAACCGAAAAAATTGAAAATTTTAGAGGCTAGGACCTGAAAAATTGTAAAACTAGGAACTGAAAAATTAAAAATTGAAAAAATGTGAATCTAGGAACTGAAAAATTAAAAATCAAAAAATTAATGAATTCAAAATTTGGACATCGAAAAATTGTAAAATCGACAAATTGCAAATAAAAGCTGTTGTAAATTCGAAAAATCAAGAAACTAAAACATCGAAAATTGAAAAAACGAAAAATTGTGAAAGCGAAATATTGAAAAATGAAAAAAATTAAAAATTAAAAATCGAAAAATAAAAAAGTCGAAAACTTGAAGATCGAGAAACTGAAAAATCAAAGAATTAAAAATTTTCAAAATTAAAATGGATAAATTCAAAAGTTGAAAAATTGAAAACTTGATGGAGAAAATAGAAAATCGAAAAATTCAGGTATCTGCCAAATCAAAAATTTTGAAAATAAAAAAAATTGAAAAATTGAAAAGCTAGGAACTGAAAAATTAAAAATTGAAAAATTGAGAATCTAGGAACTGAAAAATTAAAAACCGCAAAATTAAAAAATTGAAGATAAATAAAAATTGCAAACCGAAAAACTGAAGAAACGAAACATTGTAACCTAAAAACGGAAAAAACTAAAAATTAGAAAATCCAACAATTGCTAAATCGAAAAATCAAAAAGTTGAAAAATGAAAAAAAATAAAAATCGAAAAATAGAAAAGTGGAAAACAATCGAAAAATTAAGGTTGTCTCTAAAAATTATAAAATTAAAATGGAGAAATTCAAAAGTTGAAAAATCGATACAGTGGAAAATCGTAAAATTGAAACAATGAAACATGGAAAAATTGAAAAGTTAAAAATCGAAAAACTCAACAAATGAAAAACTGAAAAATCCAAAAATTGCAAACCGAAAAAGTGAAGGAAGGAAAAGTCGAAAACTTGAAACATTTCAAAATAAAAATCGAAAAACACAAAAACTGAAAAATCGAAAAATTAAAAAAAAAGTAGAAATGAAATACTATAAAAGCAAAAAATTCCAATGATGAAAAATCTCAAATTTTCAAAATAAAAATCGAAAAATCAAGAAATCAAAATGTCAAAATTTAAAAAAACGAAAAATTGTGGAATCGAAACATTAGAAAATTGAAAAAATTAAAGCTGAGAAATCGCCAAATTTGAAAAGTCTAAAAATTAAAATGTGTAGAAACTAAAAAATCTAAAAAATCCAAAATTTAAAAGTTTCAAAATGAAAACTCGAGAAACTCCAAAATGTAATCAAGAAATAGACTTGTCAAAAACTGAAAAATTGTAAAAACGAAACATTGTAAAATCGAAACACTGGAAAATTGAAAAAAAAAGAAATTGGAAAATTGAAAAATTCAAATTTTGGACTTCGAAAAATAGTAAAATCCAAAAAGAAATTGTGGTATCAAAAATCGAAAAAATTGAAAATTTTAAAAGCTAGGAATTGAAAAACTGGAAACTGAAAAGTTAAAAATTGAAAAAATGTGAATCTAAGAACTGAAAAATTAAAAATCAAAAAATTCAAAATTTGGACATTGAAAAATTGTAAAATCGAAAAATTAAAAAATTGAATATAAATGAAAAATTGCAAACCAAAAAACTGAAGAAACGAAAAATTGTAAACCAAAAAAGAAAAAACGAAAAATTAGAAACTCTAAAAATGGCAGAATCCAAAAACTGTTGTAAATTCGAAAAATCAAGAAATTGAAATATCAAAAATTGAAAAAACGAAAAATTGGGAAATCTAAATACATATTGAAAAATGAAAAAAATAAAAAATTAAATATTGAAAAATAGAAAAGTCCAAAACTTGAAGATTGAGAAACTGAAAAATCAAAAAATTAAGGTTACCTCCAAAAATTATGAAATTAAAAATTTTCAAAATTAAAATGGATAAATTCAAAAGTTGAAAAACCGAGAACTTGATGGAGAAAATGGGAATTCGAAAAATTCAGGTATCTGTCAAATCAAAAATCTTGATAATAAAAAAATTGAAAAATTGAACAGTTAGGAACTGAAAAATTAAAAATTGAAAAATTGAGAATCTAGGAACTGAAAAATTAAAAATTGAAAAATTGAGAATCTAGGAACTGAAAAATTAAAAACCCCAAAATTAGAAAATTGAAGATAATTAAAAATTGCAAACCGAAAAACTGAATAAACGAAAAATTGTAACCTAAAAACCGAAAAAACGAAAAATTAGAAAATCCAAAAATTGCAAAATCGAAAGACTGTTCCAACTCGAAAAATCAAAAAATTGAAAAATGAAAAAAATTAAAAATCGAAAAATGGAAAAGTGGAAAACAATCGAAAAATTAAGGTTGTCTGTAAAAATTATAAAATTAAAATGGGGGAATTCAAAAGTTGAAAAATCGATGCACTGGAAAATCGAAAAATTGGAACAATGAAACATGGAAAAATTGAAAAGTTAAAAATCGAGAAACTGAAATCCCAAAAATTGAAACATTGCAAATCTAATTATCAAAAAATAAAAATCGAAAAACTCAACAACTGAAAAACTGAAAAATACAAAAATTGCAAACCGAAAAAGTGAAGGAAGGAAAAGTCGAAAACTTGAAACATTTCAAAATACAATTCGAAAAACACAAAAACTGAAAAATCGAAAAATTAAAAAAAATGTGGAAATGAAATATTGTAAAATCAAAAAATTCCAACGTTGAAAAATCTAAAATTTTCAAAATAAAAATCGAAAAATCAAGAAATCAAAATATCAAAATTGAAAAAAACGAAACAACATTGGAAAATTGAAAAATTAAAAATCGAGAAATCGCAGAAATTGAAAAATCCAAAAACTAAAATGTGCAGAAATTAAAAAATCGAAAAAATGCAATATTGTAAAACAGAAAAATCGAAAAAACGAAAAGTTGTGAAAAAAATCGAAAATTACAAAATGGAATAGAGAATTTGACTTATCTGAAACTGAAAAACTGAAAAAACGAAACATTGTAAAATCGAAACGCTGGAAAATTGAAAAAAGAAGAAATTAGAACATTGAAAAAATCAAATAAAAAAGTTTATGAAATGAAAAATCGAAAAAGTAAAGACTCTAAACATTGGAAAATCGAAACGCTGGAAAATTGAAAAAAGAAGAAATTAGAAAATTGAAAAAATCAAATAAAAAAGTTTATGAAATGAAAAATCGAAAAAGTAAAGAATCTAAACATTGGAAAATCGAAAAATTGAATACAAGTGAAAAAGTTCAAACCGAAAAAAATTAGAAAGTCCAAAAATTACAAAATCGAAAAACTGAAACGTCAAAAATTGAAAAAAAAAATTGAAAATGAAACAAAATCAAAAAATCGTAAAAGTTGAAAATCCAAAAAGTAAAATGTGTAGAAATTAAAAAATCGAAAAAATGGAAAATTATAAGAGAAAAATCGAAAAAACGAAAAGTTGTGAAACTGAAAAGTCGAAAAAGTCAGAAACAGTTCTAAAATTTAAAAATCTCAAATTGAAAACTCGAAAAATTACAAAATGGAATCGAAAAATTAACTTATCAAAATCTGAAAAATTGAAAAAACGAAACACTGTAGAATCGAAACACTGGAAAATAGTAAAATCCAAAAATTACAAATCGAAAAAGTGAAGAATCTAAATAGTAGAAAATCAAAAAATTGAAAAATTTCAAATCAATAAATTTAATAAAGGGTAAATTGAAAAATCCAGAAATTGTGGTAACAAAAATTTAAAAATTGAATATAAATGAACAAATTGCCCACCAAAATCAAGAAACGAAAAATTGCAAACCGAAGAGATGAAAAAAATTCGAAAATCGGAAAACTGTTGTAAACTCGAAAAATCTAGAAATGAAATATAAAAATATGAAAAATTAAAAAATGAAAAATAGAAAAGTCGAAAACTTGAAGATCGAGGGAACTGACAAGTCGAAAAATTAAGTAAAAATTGAAAATCTAGGAACTGAAAAATTAAAAATCGAAAAATAAGTTTGAAAATCAAACAATAGAAATTTTAAAATTGAAAACTCGAAAAAAATGCAAATTAAAAAGTGTTGTAGCTAAACTAAAAAAAATTCAAAATAAAAATCTAAAAATCGATAAATTAAAATCAAAAATTGAAAAATCAAAAAATTCAGATAATTTATCTAGAAATTATAAAATCGACATGTTTCAAAACAAAAATTGTAGAAACGAAAAATGATGAAATTGGGACATTGAAAATCGAAAAAATTGAGAAATTAAGAATCGAAAAATTACATAAATGAAAAATTGTAACATTCATACATTCAGAAACCAAACAATTGAAAACTCGAAAAACTGTAAAACCGAAAATATAGTATGCTATTGCATCTCTGAAAGGCGGCAAAATGAGATCTAGACAATCACATTATATCTTTCTGAATTTCTGTTACCACAATCAGTAACTTAATCGCTTAATTTAGGATCGGGAAGAAGTCAACGCGCCTTGTGAATGCCGCCGCTGTAAAACTGTGTGAAGAACTATTTAACATGATCGACAGACCTGATTATGCAATGGTAACACGCGTGAGAGAAGGCACTGAACCCCAGGTACCCACATTTAAAAAAAATAGTAATAATAATAATGAAAATAACAAAAACCGATTAGGTGTTTAAATGTAAATTCGTGGGATGGGATGAAGTCATCGCTGTTGATTTTACCCGCACTGCCGAATCCGTCCAAAAAACAGGAGCGGACTTGAATAAATGGGCCAAACAACAAGAAACTAAACACGATTTGACGGCTTTATTTACGCCGCGTCAACCCGCCATGCCTCTTACAGAAGCCCAACAGTTGATGGAAGAATGGAACGAAGACTTGGAAGTCATGGAACCTCTGGTCCTTGAAGGAAAGAAATTTGTTCGTCTACCGGAAGAAGAAATCGGTACTGGATTTACACATTTGTCACACTATTTATTCTCAGTGATTGTCTTCCAGGTCATTTCTACTCCATGGACTGCTACGTCTTCCTGTGTCGCTATTGGGCGCCCATCGACGACGACAGCGACGGCGGCGAGCCCTCCACCGAAGGCGACGATTTCCACTGCGTCGTTTACTTCTGGCAAGGCCGCGAAGCCTCGAACATGGGCTGGCTCACGTTTACCTTCACTCTTCACAAAAAGTTCAAACTTTTGTTCAACGACAAACTCGAAGTCGTCAGAACTTACCAGCAACAAGAAAACATGAAGTTCATGGCGCACTTTAAACGAAAGTTCATAATCCATCAAGGTAAACGTAAGCAGAGAGAGAAAAACGCGGTAGAGTTCTATCACTTGCGGTCCAACGGAAGCGCTTTGTATACTAGATTAGTGCAGATAAAGCCTGACGCGGGTTCGCTTAATTCGGCGTTCTGGTAATGGCGTCTTGGGGGTTGTGTTAATGTTAATGTTGACGGGTTTCAGCTATATTCTTAATGTGCCTTTCGAACAAGAGGATGAAGCGGGGATTGTGTATGTGTGGATTGGGTCCAAAGCGGACGCGGATGAAGCTAGGTTGATCCAGGAGATAGCGGAAGATATGTTTAACAGTCCGTGGGTGAGTCTCCAGGTGTTGGCGGAAGGAGAAGAACCGGATAATTTCTTCTGGGTGGGGCTTGGTGGAAAGAAACCGTATGATACAGATGCCACTTTTATGGAGTACACGAGATTGTTTAGGTGTTCGAACGAAAAAGGGTATTTTGTCGTTTCAGAAAAGTGTTCCGATTTTTGTCAGGTATTTAACTCACACTTCGAATTTTCTAAGGTTTATTTTATTACATATTTGTTAAATAGGATGACTTAGCTGACGATGATATTATGATTCTTGATAATGGAGAGCAGGTGTTTTTGTGGCTTGGAGCTAAATGTAGTGAAGTTGAAATCAAACTTGCTTATAAATCAGCACAGGTACTTTTTATTTGTCTATATGACTTAATAGAGTTTAATATGTTATTATTACAGGTTTATATTCAACACATGAGAGTGAAACAGCCTGACCGACCTAGAAAACTCTTTTTGACACTGAAAAATAAAGAGTCAAGGAGATTTTACAAGTGTTTCCATGGCTGGGGGGCACACAAGAAGCCACCAGAATAAAGTGCCAAATAAATCTACGCATAGTATTAATTTAGAGAGAGCTCAACTATAAATCACTGCAATATACATACTAATTTATTGAACACACTAATATACAATAAATAAAATTTAAAAGTTTGAGTGGGTTTTATAAACTTGCTGTTGACGTTGAAGTTCCCGTTGCAGTTGCTGTTCCCGCTGACGTTGCTTTTAGAGCTGAAAATTGTCATTTATAAACTTCGTTGATAGTAACTTTCATGTTCAACTTTTTGCCGTATTTAAAAAATTACCCTTTTAGACATGTTTTAAGTTTCTTGTTGTCGAAATAAGTCTACACATATTAAGAAAAACAGGCAAATTGTTGCCCCGCCCACCCACCCTATCGCAATTGTGATGATTTTTTTTATTCAATGTGAGCTAAGAGGGCGGAGTTTAACTGCAAAATCCTTATTTCTCTACGAGAAATTAAAAACATGCTTTTGAATATCGTGTTGCTCAAGGAATACTATGTATATTAAAAAAAATATATTGTGATTAAATTTTGATTCGTTGCGAAATCGAGGGGCGGGGCTTAATTGCAGGATCCATATTTTTTACAAAATTTTACCATTTTAAACTTGTTTTACGTTTCTAAGAATACAAAAAAAAATCACAATGGAGATGGGGTGGGTGGGCGGTACTAATATTTTGTCTTTTTTTCTTAATATACTTAAATACTATTATTTGAACAACACGAAGAGTATTTTGCAGTTATGCTCCGCCTCCTTGAGATAGGGCGGGCGGGCGGGCTTACGTCTTGCCTTTTTGTTTTAATATGTGTAGACTTCTTTTCACAACAAGAAACTTAAAACACGTTTAAAATGGAAAATTTGTATAAGGAAATACCGATTTTGCATTTACGCTCCGCCCCATAATTGCAAAATCCATATTTCCTTGCAAAACTTTCCTTTTTTAACTTTATTGTTGTGAATGGGTATGTATATTAAGAAAAAAAAAGGCAAAATATCAGCCCCGCCCACCCACCCTATCTCAATTCTGATGATTTTTTTTATTCGTCGTAAGGCGAGGGGCGGAGCTTAATTGTAAAATCCTTATTTTTCTACGAGAAATAAAAAGCATGTTTTTGAGTGTCGTGTTGTTGCAAGAATACTAGGTATGTACATTAAGAAAAAAACAAGCCAAAAATTTAGCCCCACCCATATCCATCCCAAGCACAATTATGATTTTTCATTTTCAATTTCTAAATTTTCAATTTCTACTTTGAAAATTTTTAATTTTATAATTCTAGAGGTAGCCTTAATTTTTCGATTTGTCACTATCGATTTTCACAAGTTTTCGACTTTTCTGTTTTTCGTTTTTTTAATTTTTTATTTTTTTTGTCTTTCCAGTATTTCGATTTAACATTTTTTCTTCTTTCAATTTTTCGATTTTTCGAGTTTACAACAGTTTTTTTTTTGCAATTTTTGAAGTTTCTAATTTTCAGTTTTTTCAGCTTTTCGATTTGCAATTTTTCATTTATATTCATTTTTTCGATTATTGATACCACACTCTCGATTTTTCAATTTTCCATTTGTTCAATTTATTTTACTGATTTTCAATTTTTTGATTTTCCAATGTTAAATTCTTCACTTTTTCGATTTACAATTTCTCGATTTTACTATTTTTCGATGTCCAAATTTTGAATTTTTGAATTTTCGATTTTTCATTTATTCAAATTTTTTATTTGAATTTTTCAATTTTCCAGTGTTTTGATTTTACAATGTTTCGTTTTGAAATTTTTCAGTTTTTGATAAATCAATTTCTCGATTCCATTTTGTAATTTCTCGAGTTTTTAATTTGAAATTTCTAAAATTTTGCATTTTTTCGTTTTTTTTTTTATTCCTACACATTTTAATTTTTGGATTTTTCAACTATTGCGATTTCTCATTTTAAATTTTTCAATTTTCTAATTTCTCGTTTTCATTCATTTTTGATGTTTTAATTTTTAAGTTTTTAATTTTCTGATTTACAATGTTTCATTTCCACATTAGGCTCCGCCCCATAATTGTAAAATACATATTTCCTTGCAAAAATGTACCATTTTAGGCTTAGTTTTTTCGTGTGAAAAGATGGCTATGTATATTAAGAAAAAAAGGCAAAATATAAGCCCCGCCCACCCACCCTATCTCAATTCTGATGATTTTTTTTATTCGTCGTAAGCCGAGGGGCGGAGCTTAATTGTAAAATCCTTATTTTTCTACGAGAAATAAAAAACATGTTTTTGAGTGTCGTGTTGTTGAAGGAATACTATGTATATTAAGAAAAAAACAAGCCAAATATTAAGCCCCACCCATATCCATCCTAACCACAATTGTGATTTTTCATTTTTCAATTTCTAGATTTTCAATTTTTCAGTTCCTAGATTTTCAACTTCTTACACAATTCTTCGTTTTTTCAATTTTTACTTTGAACCTTTTTAATTTTATAATTCTTAGAGGTAACCTTAAATTTTCGACTAGTTAGTTTCTCGATTTTCACAAGTTTTCGTCTTTTCTGTTCTTCGTTTTTTAATTTTTCTTTTTTTTTTGTTTTTCCAATATTTCGAATTAACATTTTTTTCTTCTTTTCAATTTTTGATATTTCAATTTCTTCGTTTTTCGAGTTTACATTTTTTCGATTTTGCAATTTTTGGAGTTTCCAATTTTTCGTTTTTTTACCTCTTCGGTTTGCAATTTTTCATTTATATTCAATTTTTCGATTTTTGATAGAACAATTTTTTTTTCAATTTTCCAGTGTTTCGATTTTACAATGTTTCGTTTTTTCAATTTTTCAGTTTTTCGATTCCATTTTGTAGTTTCTCAAGTTTTCAGTTTGAAACTTTTAAATTTTACATTTTTTAGATTTTTTAATTTCTACACGTTTTAATTTTTGGACTTTTCAACTTTGGCGATTTCTCAATTTTAATTTTTTCAATTTTCTAATGTTTCGATGCCACAATTTTTCGGTTTTCTCAATTTTGACATTTTGATTTCTTGATTTTTTGATTTTTATTTCGAAATTTTTAGATTTTTCAACGTTGGAATTTTTTGATTTTACAATATTTCATTTCCACATTTTTTGTTCGATTTTCCGATTTTTCAATTTTTGTGTTTTTCGATTTTTATTTTGAAATATTTCAAGTTTTCGACTTTTCGTTCCTTCACATTTCGGTTTGCAATTTTTGGATTTTTCAGTTTTTCATTTGTTGAGTTTTTCGATTTTTATTTTTTGATATCTAGATTTGCAATTTTTCAATTTTTGAGATTTAAGTTTCTCGATTTTTAACTTTTCGATTTTTCCATGTTTCATTGTTCCAATTTTTCGATTTTCCACTTCATCGATTTTTCAACTTTTGAATTTCTCCATTTTAATTTTATAATTTTTACAGACAAACTTAATTTTTCGATTGTTTTCCACTTTTCCATTTTTCGATTTTTAATTTTTTTCATTTTTCAATTTTTTGATTTTTCGAGTTCGAACACTTTTTCGATTTTGCAATTTTTGGATTTTCTAATTTTTCGTTTTTTCTGTTTTTAGTTTACAATTTTTCGTTTCTCTACTTTTTAATTTTGCGATTTTTAATTTTTCAGTTCCTGGATTCTCAATTTTTAATTTTTCAGTTCCTAGATTCTCAATTTTTCAATTTTTAATTTTTCAGTTCCTAGCTTTCCAATTTTTCAATTTTTTTATTTTCGAACTTTTCGATTTGACATACCTGAATTTTTCGATTTTCTGTTTTCTCCATCAAGTTTTCGATTTTTCAACTTTTCAATTTACCCATTTTAATTTTGAAAATGTTTAATTTTTCGATTTTTCAATTTGTCGATCTTCAAGTTTTCGACTTTTCTATTTTTCGATTTTTAATTTTTCATTTTTTTCAATTTTCAATATTTCGATTTCACAATTTTTGGTTTTTTCAATTTTTGATATTTTAGTTTCTTGATTTTTCGTTTTTCCTTTTTTGGTTTGCAATTTTTCATTTATATTAAATTTGTTAATTTTTCGATTTTTAATTTTTTCAGTTCCTAGATTCTTAATTTTTCAATTTTTAATTTTTCAGTTCCTAATTTTTCACAATTTTTCGTTTTGATCAATTTTTGATATTTTAATTTTTAACTTTTGAATTTTCTGATTTTACAATGTTTCATTTCCACATTTTAAGTTTACTTTTTATTAATCAATTTTGATATTTCAACTCTACTCGAATTTTCAATTTTTATGTTTTTCGATTTTTATTTCGAAATGTTTCAAGTTTTCGAATTTTCGTTTCTTCACTTTTTCGGTTCGTAATTCTTGGATTTTTTAATTTTTCAATTTTACGATACATTATTATTACAAAGAAAACTAAATGTGGTAATTAAAAAAGAAAATCAAAAGAGAAGCCCCACCCATTCGTCTCGATCTCAATCGTGATCAATTTTTCATTCGTTGTCAGACCGAGGGGCGGAGCGTAATTGTAAAATCATTTCAAATATATTTTAAGTTTCTTATTGGAAATAGATGACGACACATATTGAGAAAACCAGGCAAAATATAGCCCCGCCCACCCGCCCTATCTCAATTCTGATGATTTTTTTATTCGTCGTGAGCCAGGAGGGCGGAGCTTAATTGAAAAATCCTTATTTCTCTGCAAGAAATAAAAAAAACATGTCTTTGAGTATGTTCAAGGAATATTATACTATGTATATTAAGAAAAGAATTAAGCCCCACCCATATTCATCCCAAACTCAATTGTGATGAATTTTTCATTCGCTGTCAGACCGAGGGGCGGAGCCTAATTGCAAAATCGACACTTTAAAAAATAGTAATTTGTCACCTGAGCAAAATTATGTTGGTACCACTGATTACACCCAAAGCACTGCCAAAAATTTGACGAGTGTGACGTTGTGGAGAGTACTAAAACCAAATAATGAAGTGATTGATTAGATAATTTAAAAACAACTTTTGAGGTTCTAGAATTACAGCATAAATAAAATAGGTACAACACGTGATTAAAATGGCCGCCGGATCAGTAGCACCAATTAAATAAAAAAAATGGTAATATTTGCTCGACTGTAAGTTGGCAGTCTTGAACTTTTTAAATCAAGCAATCGCTTATTAATTTACTAAAATATAAATTGAAAACCACACAAATTTTTATTTCTGCTCTGAGAGCAGGTGTTTTCATTGCTTGAAATTAAATGTGGTGAAGTTGAAATCAAACTTGCTTATAAATCAGCACAGGTACTCTTTATTTGCTTAATATTACAGGTTTATATCAACAAACGAGGGTCAAACAGCCTGACTGACCTAGAAAGCCCTTCTTGACGCTGAAAAATAAACAGTCAAGAAGATTTTACAAGTGTTTCTATGGCTGGGGGCACACAAAAAGCCACCTGAAGAAAGTGCCAAACACACCACATTAATTCAGAGAGAGCTCAGCCATAAAATCGATCATTGCAATAAACATACTTATTGAACACACTAATAACAATAAATAAATAAAATTTAAAAGCTTGATCTTAACTTATGAGCACACTTAGTCGTCATCGTCGTCGTCGTCTGAAGGAACAAACAAGTCGTTCTCTTCAAGAAAATTCGCTATATTTTTACTAATCGCGGCCCCTATTAGGAGCCCAGGAACCACAGTCAGTACAATTCGGAGCAACCCGAATGAGGTTTTGTGGGGTTCGGGAAGCACTCCCCCTGATCTGGACGAAGTCCCGGTCCTGATACCGCCCAGATTTAGCGACGGCGACTTCCATCGCGAACAGGACTTTAGAGCGGGACCTAGTCGCGACAACACCATTTTTCACCCAAAAAAATAACCACGGGAAGAATTACTTGGCACTGTGTTGTCGCAGCGTTATATATAAATATGTCACGATTATAACCAAACAATTTTAAAATAGAAAAATCTGAGTGAAGGCAAATGTCACTTATTTATCAACTCTTTCGGAAACGTAGGATTCTACTTTACCTGGAATGGCAAAATTGCGGGAAATTTGATAACAGTGACAATTCAAGGAATGTTTATTTACTAAAAATCGAAAACTATTCTAATTCTTATTTGTACTCTCGGCGCTTAATTCTTTTTGGCTGAATACCCATTTGGAATGCTATTGACGAACTTGCACAACGTGTTGTGACTTTTTGCGTCGAATGAGGTGTTGTTGAACGAAAAATATTCCTCTGCTTTGATAATTTTACCTTCGCGTGCGTTTTCACACACACCCCTTACCTACAAAAACGGTTTTAGAATTCATTAAACAGAAAACGCTAAAAATACCTCTATGTATTCACCATTCAGGTCTTTATCCAAAGGCTTATTTAAATTTACCGTCAAAGCGATATTATCGGTCGTATTTATGGTTAACGATAAACTGCCAGCAGATGCGTATTTTGCCACAACGCCAATTACAGACACGTTCTTCCCCATGAAGCTCGGCAACTGGGCCCCATTGACAATGCTGTACTGCTTACCAGAACTCATAATTGTCATAATTCTAGCAACAATGGCATAATGGGGTTATAAATTAAAACGACGGAAATATTACCTTTCTAATAATCCGTGACACTATTAATTATTTAGAGCTAACGCTTTTGTATTTTAGGTTATGTTAGTTTCGCGCTTCTGGAGCTAACTGGGTACCAACATAACAGCAAGGAAAACACTATGAATTTAATTTTTCGAAACGAATAAAATCAATTTAAAAACGCATCTTTATGTTTAAATATGAAAAAGTACACCACCAGTGTTTGAAAACACGCAAAATACAGACAAATTCACCCGAAATAGTTATTTAATAATATAAATTAAATTGACACTTGACGTTAAAAATTAAAATGACATGTTAGATAAACATAACCTAACATTTTGCGAGACGCACAATACTTTCGGTTTGTAAGTGCTCCGAATTTATTAATTAGAAAATGTCCCTTGTTCCTGACTACGACGACTCCTTATCCAGTTCTTCGGAATCCGACGACGCCACCCCCGTACCCACAATCGCAGACAGGTAATGTTAAACTAGATAAACATGTTTACGTAGTCGCCCACCACAAATCTCTCGTTTTGGTTTTACATTCCCCACACCAATAAGTAAAAATCGGGTCAGCTGTTACATGTTTCAGGCAACCCGAAAAGGCGCCTTCGAAACTCCCCAAGCCGGATTTCGTGGGGGCTTCGTTCAGCGATCCAGACGCCCCCAAAACCTCGGTTTTTAAAAACCCGTTCACCGAAGCGGAGAACGCGAAGGAGGCGATTTTGCAAAAACACGTGAAGATGGTGGACGCCAAAGACAACGTGGTGGTGATCAACGGGAAAAAAATCTGCTGGAACTACAGAAAGGGGCGGTGTCGTTTCGGACACAATTGCAAATACGCGCACGATTCCGACCTGCAAAAGTCGGAGCAACAGTTGCAGAGCGAAAAGCGGATCCAACAGACTGTTATTTGTCAGAAGCAAAATATTCCGGAGCCGTCGGTGGAAGAACTGGAGCGAATACGAGTGGAAGCGGTTTCTTTGAAGAAGAAAAAACGGCCGGGGTTGACGCAGGGGTTGACGCCGGGGAAGAAGGTTATGAAGAAGTATGCAAACCAAAAGTTGTAGGTGTGCAATTTTATTTATTTGGTTGTTTTGGAATTAAATGGGTGAAGAAAAAAGCGATATGTGTGACTAATTTATTAAGGTTAACCAGGGAAAATAACATCACGGATGTATAAGTTTGATTTAAATTTGCTAAACCTGTAACTTTTTCTAAATATAGTTTTAAACATTTCACTTTCAACATTATGTCCCTGACTAGCCTGAAATACTACATAATTAATATGTCATGACGTGGCAATGTGCCGTATTTGTAAGTACATAAAATATTAAGTAGATAGAAGAATTCATGATTCTTATCACACTCATCTAAGCGCCACAGTTACAGAAGGCAGAGATGAGAATAAAACCGTAAATGCGTTAAGTTTTAAATATGCAAAGTCGTATTTTACTGGAAAAAAGCATTATAAAAATGCTGTGTTATCCCTGTTTTTTTTTGTAAGTCTTTTTGACTATAATTAGTATTTTATACAAACTTGTTCACCAATAATTAAAATTAGTGTACAATAAGGAACTTTAAAAAGAAAGTTATCAAGGAGATAGCAAAAAACGCCACTACAGTGGCGGCTCCCATTACTTCCGTATAACTTGGTTGTTTATTTTCTTTGAACATAAATATTTTGTTAAATAAATACACAACAGGTACCCTAGTTTTATAATCATGTTTTGGACAAGACAAATGCGAACGAAGTTCAACACGAACCGAAAAAAATGATATTATTTTGCCCCTAATTGAACTCTCTATCAAAGAATGTGTAATTATAGTATTCGTTCAAATAACAGTGATAAGAATTGAGAAAAATTTATCATTTTCCCGTAGTCGTTATTTATTAAAAACAATAAACAGTTTGTAATTTTCTTATCATGATGAAATGGTTTTCACTAGTAGTATGTACTAAGACGGTTAGCTGATCTAATTTTTACATTTATGGGAATTTACATCTGATATATGCTAGTACACATGAAATAGACTCAATTTTTTACCACTGGTACTTTAAAGCTAAGAATTAAGTAAGTGTCTAAAATGTAGAGGACATTTACATACTGTTTAACAAACAACTCGCTACAACATTAAAAATACTGTCTACAAAAAATCTTTTACAAATTTCGCTAAATAAATAACCATTTAAATAAAGAATAGGTACAACTTAATAAAACAAAAAATCAAACGAGGTTTGACCAATCGTGACGAACGTATCAAGGTTAACCACGCCTTAAAAAACGTAATTATCGCTAAATCAACCTCAAACAGGTAAATCTTTCTTAAAAATATGAAAGTAAATAATTTATTATTTAACTTTTTTGTTGACAGCGGCGTAGTCAATAAAATATCGCACGATTTAAGTGGCTATCTTACTCAATAAATTACTGAAAAAACGTATACGTCATTTTTAAATTACTTAAAACTGATACATTCATTACGAGTGGGTGATAATTAAACGTTAAAAAATTAAGCTTTTCCATTACATTCTTTACCCTTCACGTCAGTGTGGCCATTCATTTTCAGTACTTTTTTACAGTCTAACCCGTTTGGAAGTCCTCCGCCTTGACTATTGGTAATTTCGTGCCCAGCGTCGTGTGTGGGAATATCCTGTGGGCCGGGTGTGTAAAAACAGAATTTCTTCGACGTTTTCCAGTCTTCTCTTAGGGATAAATTAAACATCGAATAACCGGGATTACCAGTGACTTCCTTCTCGATTTTGAGGAACGTTGGAAGGGTTTCTTTTAAATTAACTTCATTTAGAGTTGAATACGTTTCAAGTAAAATTAAGCCTCTACACCTGTAAAATTGAGTTAAAACACTTTTTTTTTTCTGAGTAGAGCAAAATACGCTACCTTGGATGAGTCGGTTCTTGGTAGATATCAAGCTGAAAATATTGGTTGTTGTAAATGAAACACCTTCGTTTTTTGTAAATCGTGAAATGGGAGTTGTCCTTCTGGGTTAACAGATTGATATAATCTCGGTGGGTTATCTGTGTTTTTACTTCTATTATTTGACCACCTGGCTGATTTTGGCGCCTTACAGTATGAATATAACTGTAATGACCTGTAATACAACAACAATCCATTACAACTATTTACACAAAGTACGTATTTTTGCTAAAAAAAATAAAAGAGCACTAAAGTGCAAAAACCAAACTCCCTATAAAAGAAAAACCCAAATTACCGCAACCAATTTATCTTATTTCTGGGATTCCCACGACGTAACCGTCGGTATACAACCAACTAAACATCAACCCGAGGAAACAATAATCCATGTTAGTAAATAAAAACCCGCATTATACTTCTCAATATATTTGCAACCCAATCTTACAATACAACAAACTGAGTAAAAACGAATTCATAAATACGAAATAAAATATGGCTGCTACAACGTCATAAATAAAGAATTGGCGTGCCTACAAATAACGAATTTTTCGTTTCTCACCTTTCTGTCCTCTTTTACGCAATCTGACTTGATTCGGCGAATTAGACTGCAAATAGTTATGAATGACTTCAAAGTCCTGAAACGGCGGAAACACGGAATCGCTGGGAAGAGGTCCTTTGACTAGGAACTTGAGTTTGCGCGCGTTCTTCAGCAACCTGTCGCCGGTGTCGATGCCGATTTTGTGGCACACCGACCCGATCATTCTTCGAATTTTCCCTTCGAAGTCGGTGGAGTTGTCGATGACGTCGAAGTAGGGGTGGCCTACCCAGGATGCGGCGGCGTTCGAGTCCAGCTCACGGGCCAATTCGACGCCTTCGGACCGACAACTGTGATCCTGAAAACAGGCTAGAATAGATTGAGACATTAGCAGAGGTACGACTTTGCGTGTCCAGGTGGTGGAAGGAGAGTGAGGGTGAAGTTGGGGCGGAAATGACTTACTTCGATTGAGTAGAATTCTTCGGCTCCTTTGGCTGCTGACACCATGTGGATGATCTGGTTGTAGCGGTTGTCGCGAAGCTCCACGTTGTTCCAGTGGTTGTCTTTCATTATGTGTTCCCATTTTTCTTTGGTTATAACTGGAAGGGTTTTGGGGTTGTTAGAGAGGGGTTTGGTGGTGAAAGTGGAACTTACATGCTGAAGCATCCATGGCACCTCTATCACAAATTATAAGACAATTCCTATTACAAGATTTTCCAAGTTCAAAGAAGGTGTTTTCGATCTGTATCATGGTTTTTAGAAGGTTTTCTTGAAATTTAACGGCTGGAAAAAATTTAATTATTAGAAATTTGGCGACATTGTAACTGCGTTTTTGTTTAATATGCCACTAAGCGTGTTAGTATAACTTTAGCGCCTAAAATGCAGACTTACAATAAACAGAAATTTTTTCATACTGTGTAAGTCACGAAACGTCGACAAAATATAAAATAACATTGATTAGAACGAAATACCGAAAATAATTTATGTGCTGCAAACTACATCGTTCACTCCTGTGATCAATACCCTAATCAAAAATGCAAATAATCCCTTCTAAAACCTAGCAATTCCACAGAATACTGCCAAATATAAATTGTTCAAGCGACGTTAGCGTGCGCGATTCTCATGTCTAAAACCAATTACTTCTACCTATTCGATTATACCTATTTAATTTAGTCTGTTTTTGTAAAAAGACATCACGTGATGAAATGATAAGTAAAGTCAACACGAAAGCTCCACAGGATGTTAGCAACAGTACATTTCGGAGCATTATCAACTTTAAAGTGGGATTTATAAACTTCGATGGAGTTGCTGTTCCCGCTGACGTTGCTTTTAGAGCTGAAAATTGTCATTTATAAACTACGTTGCCTAGTTGCCGTATTTAAAGGGGTTGTAGAAAAAAGTGGCCGATTTAAATTGGTTACTACAAAAATTTACCATTTTAGACAGTTTCTTGTTGTCCAAATAAGGCTACACATATTAAGAACCAAAGACAAAATGTAGCCCCGCCCACCCGCCCGATCTCAATTGTGATGATTATTTTATTCGTCGTGAGTCAAGAGGGCGGAGCTTAACTGCAAAATCCTTATTTCTCTACGAGGAATGAAAAACATGTTTTTGATTATCGTGTTGTTGAAAAACTACTATGTATATCAAGAAAAAAACAAGCCAAAAATTAGGCTCGACCCAAACCCGCCCCGATCTCAATACTCAATTGTAATGAATTTGTCATTCGTTATCAGATCGAGGGGCGGGGTTTAATTCAAGATCCACATCTGTTTACAAGAATTTACCATTGTAAACATGTTTTAAGTTTCTTGTTCGAAAAAGACGACAACGTATAGTAAGAAAAAAGGCAAAATATAAACCCCGCCCACCCGTCCGATCTCAATCGTGATGATTTTTTTTATCATCGAGAGCCAAAGGAGCTGAATTTAATTGCAAAATCCACATTTCGTTACAAACATTTTTCATTTTAAACGTGTTTTACATTTCTAAGAATAAAAAAATCATCAGAATTAAGATAGGGTGGGCGGGCGGGGTTTATATTTTGCCTTTTTTTCTTAATATACATAGTATTCTTTGAACAACACGATACTCAAAAACATGTTTTTAATTTCTTCTAAAGAAATATGTTTTTGGCCTTGGTTCACGGCGAATAAAAAAATCATCAGCATTGAGACAGGGCGGGTGGGCGGGCTCATATTTCCTTGCAAAATATACCATTTTAACCATGTTTTAAGTTTCTTGTAGTGAAACGATGGCTAAGGATATTAAAAAAAAAGGCAAAATATAAGCCTCGCCCACCCACCCTATATCGATTCTGACGATTTTTTTGTATTCGTCGTAAGCCGAGGGGTAGAGATTATTTTGTAAAATCCTTATTTTTCTACGAGAAATTACCCTGTGAAATATGTTCTTAAGTAATCGTGTTATACAAAAAAACCTAAATGTAACTAGGTTACATATTTATGTAACTGTGACAGTATTAATTAACAAAAAAAACCAAAAGAGAAGCCCCACCCATCCGTCTCGATCTCAATCGTAATGAATTTTTTCATGCGATGTTAGACCGAGGGGCGGAGCATAATTGCAAAATCGATATTTCTCTATACAATTATTTTGCTTGTTGTGAAACGATGACTACACATATTAAGAAAAGAAGGTAAAATGTATATTAAGAAAAAAGCAAGCCAAAAATTAAGATCCGCCCACATCCATGCCAAGCTGAATTGTAATGAATTTTTCATTCGATGTCAGACCTAGGGGCGGAGTCTAATTGCAAAATCGATACTTCCCTACAAAACTTTACCATTTTTTAAACATGTTTTACCTTTCTTGTTGTGAAAAGATGACTGCACATGTTAAGAAAAAGGGACAAGACGTAAGCCCCGCCCGACCCCCCATCTCAATTCTGATGATTTTTTTCATTCGTCGTAAGTCGAGGGGCGGAGTTTCATTGTAAGATCCGTATTTGTCAACAAGAATTTACCATTTTAAACATGTTTTACGCTTCTTGTTCTGAAAAGACTACTGCGTATAGTAAGCAAAAAGACAAAATATAAGCCCCGCCCACCCGCCCTGTCTCAATCCTGATGATTTTTTTTTTATTCGTCGTAAACCGAGGGGCGGAGCTTAACTGTAAGATCCTTATTTTTCTACGAGAAATATAAAACATGTTTTTGAGTGTTGTGTTGTTGAAACAATGCTATGTATATTAAGAAAAAAACAAACCAAAAATTAAGCCCCACCCATATCCATCCCACAACAATTGTGATTTTGCATTTTTCAATTTCTAGATTTTCAATTTTTCAGTTCCTAGATTTTCAACTTTTTACACAATTCTTCGTTTTTTCAATTTTCACTTTGAAAATTTTTAATTTTATAATTCTAAGAAGTAACCTTAAATTTTCGACTTGCCAGTTTCTCGATTTTCACAAGTTTTCGACTTTTCTGTTCTTCGTTTTTTAATTTTTCATTTTTTTTGTTTTTCCATTATTTCGAATTAACATTTTTGCATTTTTTGGAGTTTCTAATTTTTCGTTTCTTCACCTCTTCGGTTTGCAATTTTTCATTTATTCAATTTATCTTGTTGATTTGAAATTTTTCAATTTTTCGATTTTCGAATGTTTAGATTCTTCACTTTTTCGATTTGCAATTTCTCGATTTTACTATTTTTCGTTGTCCAAATTTTGAATTTTAGATGTTTCATTTATTCCATTTTTTTGATTTGAATTTTTCAATTTTTCTGTTTTTGATAAGTCAATTTCTCGATTCCATTTTGTAATTTCTCGAGTTTCCAATTTTAGATTTTTAAATTTACCATTTTTTCGATTTTTTAATTTCTATACATTTTAATTTTTGGACTTCTCAACTTTTGCGATTTCTCAAATTTAAATTTTTCAATTTTCTAATGTGTCGATTATTTTTTTTCTAATTTTTGATATATCAATTTCTCGATTTTTCGAGTTTACAGAAGTTTTTCGATTTTGCAATTTTTGGAGTGTCTAATTTTTCGTTTTTTCATCTCTTCAGTTTCCAATTTTTTCTTTCTTGATTTTTTAGGTTTTGCAATTTTTCATTTGTATGGACTCAAGTTTTCGATTTTCCAATGTTCTTCACTTTTTCGTTTTGCCCAAATTTTGAATTTAATTTTTTCCAGTGTTTCGATTTTCCAATGTTTCGTTTTTTCAATTTTAAATTTTTAAATTTAGCATTTTTTTCGATTTTTTAATTTTTATAATTTTAATTTTGGGATGTCTCAACTTTTGCGATTTCTCAAATTTAAATTTTTCAATTTTCTAATGTTTCGATTTCACAATTTTTCAATTTTTAATTTTTCGGTTTTTCATTTATTCAATTTTTTGATTTGAATTTATCAATCTCTTCTTTTACAATTTTCCACTGCTTCGATTTTACAACGTTTCGTTTTTCCAGTAAGTCAATTTCTCGATTTCATTTTGTATTTTTTCGAGTTTTCAATTTTAAATTTTGGATTTTTCCATTTCTCAATTTTTACAATTTTTTTTCGATTTTTGGGTTTCACAACTTTCGTTTTTTTATTTTTCAATTTTCTGATGGTTCGATTACAAAATTTTTAATTTTTTCAATTTTTGATATTTTCATTTCTTGATTTTTCGATTTGTGGTTTTCGATTTTTATTTTGAAAATTTTTGAGTTTTCAACTTTTGAATTTTTCGATTTTATATATATTTTTTCATTTCCACAATTATTTTTTTTCCAATTTTTGGAGTTTCTAATTTTTCGTTTTTTCATCTCTTCGGTTTGCAATTTTTCGTTTCTTGATTTTTTAGGTTTTGCAATTTTTAATTTATATGGATTCAACTTTTCGATTTTCCAATGTTTAGATTCTTCACTTTTTCGTTTTGTCCAAATTTTGAATTTAATTTTTCGATTTTTCATTTATTCAATTTTTTGATTTGAATTTTTCAATTTTCCAGTGTTTCGTTTTTTCAATTTCTCGATTCCATTTTGTAATTTCTCGAGTTTTCAATTTTAAATTTTTAAATTTAGCATTTTTTCGATTTTCTAATGTTTCGATTTCACAATTTTTCAATTTTTAATTTTTCGGTTTTTCATTTATTCAATTTTTTGATTTGAATTTTTCAATTTCTTCTTTTTTCAATTTTCCACTGCTTCGATTTTACAACGTTTCGTTTTTCCAATTTTTCAGGGTTTGATAAGTCAATTTCTCGATTCCATTTTGTATTTTTTCGAGTTTTGAATTTTAAATTTTGGATTTTTCCATTTCTCAAATTTTACTTTTTTTTTCGATTTTTGAGTTTCATAACTTCCGTTTTTTTATTTTTCAATTTTCTGATGTTTCGATTTAAAAATTTTAAATTTTTTCAATTTTTGATATTTTAAATTTCTTGATTTTTCGATTCCTGTGGTTTTCGATTTTTGTTTTGAAAATTTTTGAGTTTTCAACTTTTGAATTTTTCGATTTTATATACATTTTTCATTTCCACAATTATTTTTTTCCCAATTTTTGATATTTCAATTTCTCGATTTTTCGAGTTTACAGCAGTTTTTCGATTTTGCAATTTTTGGAGTTTTCTAATTTTTCATTTTTTCATCTCTTCGGTTTGCAATTTTTCGTTTCTTGATTTTTTAGATTTTGCAATTTTTCATTTGTATGGATTCAAGTTTTCGATTTTTCATTTATTCAATTTTTTGATTTGAATTTTTCAATTTTCCAGTGTTTCGATTTTCCAATGTTTCGTTTTTTCAATTTTTCAGTTTTTGATAAGTCAATTTTTCGA